GTATAGAGTAGACACCATGTGTGTTTATGGTGTTAAACATTTATATTTTGACAAACATCTATAGTTTAGCGCTTGGTTTATTTTCAATACTTATTGTTGATAATCACATGAGACACCTTTACTAATTCGAAGAATATATTTATTTTTTTCAAATTTATTAATAATAACTAATATGTGGGAGTATATGGGAGTTTTTTATTTTTTTTGTATGATACTATATACGTATATTTTTTTTGGTTCTATCTTTTTTGACACGATGGCTTTATTCTTTTACCGTACGTATGTAGGTTTTATTGTTCCTTTTCATTCTTACGTACTTACTTTTTTTTTTGGCGAACCTATTCTCTCTCGTATGTATAGGTGGAAAGTATTAGTATTAGAGATATAAATATCTAATCTAATGATCTAAATAATGGATCCATCAATTTAAGTGAAAATCAACGGTATAGATATAGATATAATCTAATGGTCTAAAATAACGGGTCCACCAATTTAAATGAAAATCGACGGTGAGATTAAATAGTACCACGTGGCGGTTTAGGAGCGTTTATAAGAATGCCACGTATCGTCTTGAGAGTGTTTGTAGGTCGTTCAATAGACTTTTAGTATATGATAGATAGATAGATAGATGGCGTAAGGATATCAAGATCGAGAATGGCCTTGTAAAATACGGGCCTTTAGTGGGCTAGGAGCTTATGGTGGAGTATAGCAATATGGGCTTCTGATACAAGGCCCTGGAGCTCGCTTGGTGCTTAATCATCCGGCTATGCTATATAAGCAAGCTCTTTGATCTAAAAACCAGCTTGAGAAAGAATTATTTGCATTTTAGCCGGTCATGTTTTGGTACTATACTAGTATAATTTGAACAAAAATACACATTTATATTTGAACTCTCTAGGCTATTCCCCTATTACATGTAGCATGACATCAGAGTCAAAACAGATACGCACTATAAATTTAGTTTCATCATATGCAACAAATGACATTATACATAGCAATGACATCAGAGTTAAAATGAAGAGAACAAAAAGAAAAAAAATTCAAATAACCTCCCCAAAAATCAAATCCAAATCAACTGGCTCTCTAGAAAGCAACCCTGTTCCTTAAGCAACTTCCCTTTGTCTTCTTCCCAGCGGCCCATAAGTAGTCCACATCTCCACTCTCTTGACCACGAAACGGCCCAACACCCAAAACCCCCGGGCCCACATGTCATCCTCTCCCCCAACCCTAGCGCCACCGGCATTCCGATCCCTCCTACCCCTGGCCCCACATGTCAGTGACCCGAAAACGCCTCAGGGTATATATACCCAGCTGTGCCTAAGCCGGGCACACGCCCTCTGACCCCGATAGAAAGGGAGGAAAAAAAAAAGAGAAGGCGAAACCCCAAATCCGCCGCGATGGCCGCCGCCGCCCTCCTCCGCCGCTCGCCGGCGGCGCGCGCCCTCCTCTCCCCGGCGCTCTCCTCCCGCCTCGTCGCCTCCAAGCCCCACTCGTCGTCCCCCGCGCCGCCGCCGCCGCCGTCGAAGGCGGGGGCGAACACCAAGACGTTCTCGATCTACAGGTGGGATCCCGACTCGCCGTCGACGAAGCCCCACCTCAAGGACTACAAGGTGGACCTCTCCGACTGCGGGCCGATGGTGCTCGACGTGCTGCTCAAGATCAAGAACGAGCAGGACCCGTCGCTCACCTTCCGCCGCAGCTGCCGCGAGGGGATCTGCGGGAGCTGCGCGATGAACATCGACGGCGACAATGGCCTCGCCTGCCTCACCAAGATCTCGTCGGCGTCCTCGGCCTCCACGATCTCGCCGCTCCCCCACATGTTCGTCATCAAGGACCTCGTCGTCGACATGACCAACTTCTACAACCAGTACAAGAGCGTGGAGCCGTGGCTCAAGCGCAAGGACGCGCCGCCGCAGCCCGGGAAGGAGATCCCGCAGACCAAGGCCGACCGCGCCAAGCTCGACGGCATGTACGAGTGCATCCTCTGCGCCTGCTGCTCCACCTCCTGCCCCTCCTACTGGTGGAACCCCGAGGAGTACCTCGGCCCCGCCGCGCTCCTCCACGCCAACAGGTATACCACCACCTTCCCAAATGCTCTTGGTGTCGTGATGTTGTTCTTGTTTGTTGATTCGTTGGATCCGTTTGCTAGTTGACTTGTTTGTGATTCATCGGGTGATGAATTGTGCTCTGGTGATTGTGAAATGGTTTGCTTGTTGATTGATGCGTAGATTGATCTGACCTGGATGCTTGTTTAGGCGATGCTTGTGTGGAAATGATTTTCATTAGGACGATAGTTTATTTTTCCGATACTCTGATGTGGTCATGAATTACGTGATCCTCTTATGTGACGATCCAATATTTGTTTGGTAGCTAGTAGAAACTTGGTAAAGCGGTTTGGATGATCATAAGTGAATACAGTGTGGTGATGAAATGTGTTAAACACGTGTGTGGTTCTATAGTCATAACTGACTAGGCGCATTCAAGGCATTCGCTGCCCCACAAGTATTCTGCCTTTTGTGCCTGACCTACTGATCAGAAATTTGATATCCAACCAAGGAATAGTTTGCAAGCCTCACTGTGGTAAAACTCATACTTGGATAGTGGTAGTGTTTGATTGCTTTCCGTAGTTTCCACCTCTGCTAGCATACAGCGGCTGATGATTTAGCTGATCTACGACGTTAAATACTTTTGGTGTGCATTCCTTTGGCACTTATTTGCCTTAACTTGAATTATAGTTGTCTAATATGATTATTGTTTTTTTATGTAAGCTTTAGGATGTTGCTAAGTCCATGACACGTTCACCCTTTTTAGGCTTCCGCTGTTGGGGACGCTAATCAAACCAAAACCCAACATGTTCATGCACATCCAAGCTCGAGGATATCACGGGGTATCGGAGAAGAGAAACTTGCTGGATCACAAACGTAGATTGCTTGCAGCAAAATATGAACTGAAAGGAAAGCTTTATAAGGCTGTTTGTAGGGACCCTGATCTTCCAGCAGATATGCAGGACCAGTTTCGCTATAAGCTGTCCAAGTTGCCAAGAAATAGCTCCATGACACGCCTTAGAAACCGCTGTATCTTCACGGGCCGCTCGCGCGCTGTTTACAAGAAATTCCGCATGTCTCGTATTGTGTTCCGGTCATTGGCTAATAAGGGTGAATTGTTGGGTGTTAAGAAAGCGTCTTGGTAGATGCTAACAACCAGTAGATCAAAGCACTAGCTCTGCAGTAGTCCAGCACAATAAGTTTGCCTCCATGCAGTTTTTCAGTGTTTGCAACCTGAAACTATATTTCAATCTTATGACCAGCAGCCAATCTGGCACTCTTTCAATTATTTAGTTGAACCAATGTACTGTACTGTTTTTCTGCCTATTGAGCATTTATGAAGTTAAAAGTTTTGGACCATTCTTTTTCCCCTGCCCCTATATATATGGTATTTTTGAATTCGGAGATACTTTTTTTACCATCAAGGTGCGCTCAGTCATGATAAATACCTTTACTTTTGACAGTTTACTTGTAGAATTAGTTATACTTACTGATAACTGTTTCGCAGTATGTAGATTAATTTGCTTAGCTTTGGGTTACTTGAATTCTGTTCTATATGTTATTGCTGTGCCTATGTATTGTTGAAAGTTAATAATCACACATTCTAGCGAACTCTGGTGCATGCTACTGGTTGCTCTTGCAATCGCATTAAACATGGAATTTTGTTAATTAAGGCATTTGACCTGTTGTGCCATCAGTTCAAGATGTAGTGCTTCATAATTTCACCGTTCATGGGCTTAATGAGTGGATCCTCCCTTGTTTTCCCTAGATTTCAGCAACAAATTCCTTTCCTGTTCCTGCTGAGTTCCTGTTTGATGTAACTTGTTTGTTGATGTTCAAGTATTAAATCTTCTAGATGAATAACTCAGTTTTCACTGCCTGATTATATTTGTAAAGAGAACTAGTTAACATATCAATCTTTTAGTGTCTGATTTGGTTCAGGTCCCCTAATTTTGTTCATATTGTGCAATTTTGCCTGATTCTATGTGCAGTTGTGAACTGGGTTTTGTATTAGATCATCTTACGAATTGACCGGTTTGCAGCTTGGATAATCATTATAGCTGCTGTCTATATATAATGATATTATTGTATTTGATTCTATAGTGTAAATAAGCTAAGGCAGGTTTTTGTTTTGTCTGATCTAATTTTGTCATGAAGCAAAAATCTTAAACATGATCTGATATGACTGGTCTGTTGGTTTAGGCCGTTTGTCCTGCCCCAATTTTTGCAAATGCCCATACCCTTGTGATTGCTCTGTCCTATGAACATCCATTCCCTGTTTCAGGTGGATACAGGACAGCCGTGACCAGTTCACTAAGGAGCGCCTGGATTCCATCAACGACGAGTTCAAGCTGTACCGCTGCCACACCATCAAGAACTGCACACACGCCTGCCCCAAGGGCCTCAACCCAGCGAAGCACATCGACACAATCAAGAAGCTCCAGCTCGAGGCCTGAGTGAGCAGTATATCTCTCTTCATGAGATGAAACTCTGTCGAAAAATTGTAATCAGCCAGCCTCTTGTTTCTCTGCCTTTTTAGTCCATCGCCTGACGAATAATTGCTGGAACGCAGGATTCCCTTCTGGGCCTCCGATCTGATGACTTCCATTTCCATCAGATGGAGGGAGCATTGTAGGGAGTGAATAATTTGCTACCGTATTTTACGTTTTGTTCTGTATCTAATTCGGTTTGTTGTTCACCGTCCATTCCATTATGTCGTGCGGTTTATGCATGAAGTAATTCATGGATTTTACCTTTGTTTTTGTGATGTTGAACATGCCCTTCATATTTTTAACCCGGAAATCAACAAGCATTCTCCGTAATCTCTGGTTAGTGATCGGGTTTAGCCATATAGTGAATCTTAAATTGAAGCAAAACGAATCGGATTTGGTTCCTGTGCAGTTCTTGGTATTACTGCAACTTAGGCGGTCATATTGTGGCTGTAGGATGCAAATCCAAAGGCCCAAATTTAATAGGACACTGTTTATTCAGACAATCCAGCACAAAATTATTATAACAATCATAGTGGCAAATTAAAGCGTGTAATGATGCATCTACCAAATGCTAAATTGCTAATGGTGGGATATTCCAGATAACACTAGAATGATTCAGACAGGCCAAGCCTCCCAAGGTTTTCCATCTCACCAGCAGGTGGGACCCACCCCCGTTTTGCTCCCAGCCAATGGCGTCGCGAGGCGCGAGATAAGGCTGCAAACCTGGAGCACACACTCGCCTCCTTCCATCGCTGATGCAGATAAGCCGCGATCGCATCCACCGTTCTAGAAACGCAGCGACATTGCACTCACCATCTCAGAAATTGCATCCAACAGCAGCTGCCATAGTTGCAAGTGAGCTAGAGCTCAGAGAAGAGGAGGAAGAAGAAGGCGTCAATGGCGACCACCATAGCTGCGATGGCCATGCTTAAGCCGTCCAAGATCGTGGCGCGGTCATCGCCGGCGCCGTCGGGGAGCGGCAGGGTGCCTAGCATCTCGCTCAAGAGCCTGGCCAAGAAGGGCATGTCGGTGTCGTCGTCGTCGGCGGCGGCGGCGCCCGTGGCGGCGGCGGCGATGGCGGGCGCGTTCTTCTCGGCGCTGGCGTCGACGGACGCGGCGCTCGCGGCGCAGCAGATCGCGGACGTCGCCGCGGCGGCGGCGGGTGCCGACGACAACCGCGGGCTGGCGTTGCTGCTGCCGATCGCGCCGGCCATCGCGTGGGTGCTCTACAACATCCTCCAGCCGGCGCTGAACCAGCTGAACCGCATGCGGTCGGAGCAGGTGCTCGTCGCCGGGCTCGGCCTGGGCGCGGCGGCGGGTGCCGGGCTCGCGTTCCCGCCCGAGGCGTCGGCGGCGCAGGAGGTGGCGAGGCTGGCGGCGGAGGCGGCGGCGGCGGAGGGCGGCGACAACCGCGGCCTGCTGCTGCTGTTCGTGGTGGCGCCGGCGATCGCCTGGGTTCTCTACAACATCCTGCAGCCGGCGTTGAACCAGCTAAACCGCATGCGGTCAGACTGAGAGCTTGAGCTTGAAGATTGCATCCGTACATGTGTGTACGTGGTGTGTTTTGAGGGTGGTGGAGTGGAGTGGAGTGGTAGTGACGTGGAATGTGGTGTACTTATGCCTTAATTAATCCTGTTCCTAATCCTCTCTTCCCTTGAACAAAAATTCAGTACAGCTCTTCTTCTTATTTGAATTCATCTAGTTAATTTATTTGTCTTATTGATCAATGTTTGTTTTTGTTTCCCCAGTCCGGTAGATGAGCACACATGCACACCATAGTACACTTACTAGAAAAAAAATACTAGTGGATCGACACATCGACCTGTGAACCCACTTAAAGTACAAATAAGTGGATAATCTTAACATGTTAGTTTCCCATTTATATGTTTCCTATTTATATGTACTATAAGTGAATTCACGAGCCGACTCTCTTACATCCTTCTTACTTAGGTTTGAGTGGATTACTTATTTTTCATCCACTCGAACCTTTTGAAAAAAAATTCCTATTTCTATGAGAGCACATATATAGTTTTATCACAGTTATATAGTTTTTACACTTCTATAGTTTTGCCGCTGACAAGTATAATCGTTATATCCTGCCCTAGTAAAAGACGCGAATAGTAAGGAATAACCTAATATCAAATAATTAAAAGGAGTGATATTTTGAATCCAGGTCATCTAGCCCACCATTTTGTGGGGATAGCCGGAATACCTCTAGGTATTTCTCATATCCTGCCCTAGTAATCTTATCTCATATATTTATATAGTTCATCCCACTAAGTGTTGTTAATGCTATTTCTTTTTTCTCTCAGTAAGCCACATCACTCTAATTATTTCTAGCTATTGGATGATAGATCTATGGTTCAAATTGTCACGTCTTTCTTCTCTCATAACACCAAGTAATCTCAATTATTTTTAGGCCTTAAAATTCATAAGTATCTATTTGTTTTAGTTTTAATATTCATATTGCATCTTATTTGTATATATTATTGTCAGGGTTACAGATAAGGCATACCTTTTATCCTACGACTTATGGAATATACCGATATGGTATACCTTCACGTATACGGATTGTTTCCATATACGTTGTTGGAATCTGTTGCAAATTACATAAATATCTCTACAAGATAAGTGATTTCCAAAATCCTACTCGGAAGGAATAGATATTCTGTTATACCGTACCAGATCAAATATCTCCAGGCCTTACTTGGGGGTCAAGATGATCCACGGTATAAAAGGGACCTCCAGGGAGGGGTGCAAGGCATCGAATTTCATCGCCTACACACCCACCATAGTTCACGAGGCCGGAGTTCACGGCGCCAAGTCGTCGGATCTTGTCCAATTCATCAACTACGATCTCGCCGGTATCGTCTGTTTCGTTTACTTCCTTTGTAATCTGTGATTCCTCATCATCAATCTCATATAAACCAGACTAGGGCTATTACCTGACAAGGGGTCTGAACCATTATAATCCTTGCCTTTTGTGGGGTCTGAACCATTATAATCCTTGCCTTTTGTCTGCTTGATGTCGTACTACATAGATACTCGTTTCAACGTACCCAAATACTCAACTCATCCGGTCCATGAGTACCACTCGTCGATAATTATGCGACTTAATTTCCCGCAGCATCATGACGGGGTATTTATCTAGTTAAACTAAATTTCTTGTGAATTAAAAACTGCTACAGAGTAGGGGGAAAAGAAAAATAAATTACAGTACCTAGACGGTCAAGGTCAAAGCATCGCATGCCCTTGCGGCTTTGACTCTTGGCTTGGAGGAAGACGCCTGAAAGCCAGTGAGGCTGAGCAGCAAGGCTGCCTGGCTGCGTCGTCACACGCCACGATGCGTCCTCGTATTCCCCATCTCCCTCGTCCCGCGAGACTACGGCCACTACTCCTACGAGAGTACGAGTACGGAGGCCGCCCTTGAGTTTTCCTCTCACTGAGAGGGGTTGAACTGTAAAACATGTGTTGTACAGTGAAACATTTTGACTTTTACCTCCTTGTTTTGTTTGGGTGTATTTATGTCCTGTTTAGTTCAGACTAAACTTCCCTCAAACCTTTAACTTTTCATCACATCACATCACATCTAAAACTTTTCTACTCACATAAACTCCTAACTTTTTTTCCAAACTAACAACTTTCCCTAAACTTCTCCCCAATTTCAGAAACTAAACACAGCCTTAGTTCACGCCAAAATTAAAAGTTTGATTGAAATTGAAACGATGTGATGGAAAAGTTGGAAGTTTGTGTCTATAGAAAAGTTTTGATCTGATAAAAAAGTTGAAAGTTTAAAGAAAAAGTTTGGAAGTAAACTCGGCCTTTGTTTGACCCTTCTGGCCATCTATCGGATCGCCGTGCCCTTGCCTTGCCTGTATGGACGCATTGTCGTAGTACTGCCTTCGTGCAGTGCAGATCACATATATGCGCCGTGATGTGTCGGCCGGGATGGCCCACCACGTCAGCATCTGCACGTTTTGCTTCATCATACTGATAGTACAGGATTACAGGCACAGCTTAGCAGCTACTCCTACTAATAGAGAGAGAAAGAGAAAGAGAAAGAGGAACAAATTTTGGAGCTAGTAAAATTGAATAAATTTTGGAGCAAGGTGAAACAAACACTGGATAAAAAATATAGTAAATACATATATGTCAGAAAGAAAAAAATAGCTGAAGTCAAATTGTACTATCAGAACATATAATAGTTGTGTTCCATGTCAAGCTCGAAAATAATTTAGGATACTCACAAGAAAATAAACGATCGTCTACGAGTAAACATCATTTCCATGTGGATTCACTTAAAACGGCGTTCTTCTATATCTATACAAGTTCACCAAACTAAGGATCGACATTGAACACATAACAGTCAAAGACACAGACATGATCGACTATGCTAACTTCCATTCGAGATCTATAATTTCTTAAAAGATAATTTCATAACATAAAACAGAGTAATATTCTAGAGTAAAATAGGAGCTGATGACTGATAGTACAGATCCAACGGCGATGACGTGAACATCCACCCTAATCCATCACAAAACCCCCGTGATTCCCATAAAAATCCTCCTCTCCTTTTTTCTTCCTCCGACCACCCCACCACATCGAGTACGGCGGGGGAAAAGGCGACACCGCAATCCGGCCGCCCAATGGCGCGCCGCCACGTCACCCCGACTCGCCACGTCAGCAAGGGATCACGGAAAAGCGGAGAGATCCCCCTCACTTTCCCTCCAAATAGCTTGGCTCGCTGCTTCTCTTCTCCCGCGCTTTTTTTGCAGCGAGGTCCCTCAGGTTGCGTGGTATTTGCGTTGGTTGGGAGGGGGGCAATGGCGAGCGGCGGCGCGCGGCGGAGGAAGGGTCGCCGGGGAGGGAGGGGGAATGTGAAGAGGAGGACCAAGTATCTGAGTCTTAGTCGGTTCTTGATTAAGAAGGAGGAGGAGGAGGAGGTGGTGGTGGTGGCGGTGAGGTCGCCGGAGTTGGTGCCCAAGGATGAGGCGCCGTCGTCGCCGGAGGACGGTGGGGATGGAGGTGAGGATGAGGAGGAAAAGCCGCAGATGGAGCCGTTCGCGCTGCATCCTGAGCCGTCCACGCTGTTCGCGGCGGCGCCGTCGCTCACCGACATCCTCGGCGCCTCCGCTGGCGGCGGCGGCGGTGGCGGGGGCGAGTCGTCGTCCGCGGCCTCGCCGGGCGTTTCTGGCGGGAAGGAGCTCTCCGGCGAGGAGGATGACCTGGCGCGGCGCGCGCTACGGGGGCGGGAGCGGTGGGTGTACTGTAGCAGCTCGTCCCCGAGCGCGACGACCACCACCACCACCACGACGTCGTCCTCGTGCTCCTCCGCGGCGAGCACGGGCGCCTCAAGCGGCGGCGCCGCGGCGCGGTCGCTGCTGCTGAAGCTCGACTACGAGGAGATCCTCGCCGCCTGGGCGGGCCGCGGCTCGCTCTACATCGGCGGCGCCGCCGCCGCCACCGCCGGTGGCACGGACAACGCCGCGGCGGAGCTGGAGCTCGACTCCGTAAGCGCCCCACTCGCCCCACTCTTCTTGGACACGCCCCGTGGTGACACTGACACCGGCGGCGCATGCTCGTGCAGGTGTTCGTCGAGGTGTCGGCGTCGCCTGAGCCCGCGGCGGCGGCGGCGGCATGGAGCGTGGCGGAGCCGGCGGCGAGGGCGGAGAAGGTGAGGCGGTACAAGGAGAAGCGGCAGGGGCGGCTGTTCGCGAAGCGGATCCGGTACGAGGTTCGCCGGCTCAATGCCGTCAAGCGGCCGCGCCTGAAGGTGACCAACTTATCTCAACCTGAACTAGTTGCTGCATGCTTCATAAGTTCAGAAAAATTCTTACCTGAACTGAGCTGAACTGGATTTGCTCATTTATTGATTCTTCAGTAATTGTCTCCAGTCCCATAAACTGTAAAAGACTTGTACTTTGTAGTGTAAATGATTCATCTTGTCATCTTGGATTTGGCATGGACCAGCATTATCATTCCGAATCAGTTTAGTCTAACTGGTTGGATTCAGTTTATTATCTTCAGGAATTACTGAATACTGAATAAGGAATGTAAGCATGGAACTTTGGTAGGGACTAGGAATCGAACGATTAATTAACTTGGAGGCAACAGGATTAGATTCTACTTCTTAGTAGATGTAAGCTGCTGAAGTGTGGGTTTCAGACCTTATTGTATAGGCTAATTTATTTCTAATATCTGAAAAAAATAGGTTAGGCATTTCCACTATATCCTTTTTTAGTTAGCTCTCATGATATATTTCTGTTTTTTTGTCTGAAATTCCTTAATAAAGCTTCAGTTGTCTGCTAATTGCTTATCAGAAGATTAGTACACTTCAGGCACACTCTGAGCAAAGCCAATGGATCATACATAGTATTGAACTTCTAGTATTAGGTGATAACTGAACTGAAAAACATGATGAATTCACACATCCGTGGCTGGACATGTTGATCTTTCACTTTCTGAACTAGAAAGCATCAAAATGCACTTTATGGTTTCACTTTCTAGCTGATAGAAGAATCTCTTATGTAAAATTTATGTTCATTGATATAACTGTGTGTCCGCAAACCGACAAACTAAGAACTTAACAGTGTTGATTCATGAATTGAAACCTGCTAGACTTTGCATCCTGGAAGTGCAAGAACCATCTTCTACCCATAGTCCATACATTTCTTTTACTTGATGAAACTCTGTCCTGATGAAACCTTTTGGCATTTCTTGCATCGCTGCACTGCAGGGCCGTTTCATAAAGGAGAAGGAAGGCGCCGCAATCACATAGAGAAAGCCAGCTCCAGCTGCTTACATAGCCTTCCCTGCTCTCTCCAATGCCATGGTGGATGCATCATTATGCATCTCTCCATCGCTTCTTCGCGTGTACATGATCTGTTAGTTATTTTGTTTAGTTCTCCAGTCCTCATCATGTCCAAATCAGTTCTTCTGCCCTGGGGCTGCAAGTTGTGAGCCTTCAGGTGCAGAGATGCAGTGTGGATTATGTCTCATAGGATGAAAATAACAGCAATTCAGTTCAGTTCAGCCATGATGTGCCCAACTGTTCATCAACGATCAGTTCAACATTTTGTAATGTCTTCAGGTGCTGGTTGTCGTTGAGAGATTTAATATTGGCTTCTCCACAAAATAGGGCAAAATCATCTTCCATTATTTGTAAAGAACCAGTAATGCCTTATTTGGGGAATTCGAGATTTGGACAGGTAACTGTTGAGTACCAAATAATCGGTGAAAATCTAGAAAACTGGGATTGTTATCCCTTGACTTCTAGTTTATTTTTTAAAAAATTTTATAACTATATATTCTTAAAATTTAAATAGGAATCTATTTAGGGAGCTAGAGATTCTTTAAAAACCTAACAGAAACTCTTCAAACAGAACCAATAAACTGACAGAAACTCTTCAAACAGAACGCAATCGAAGGGAATTCATCAAGGGCAAGAGATGTCAGGATCAGAATCGTCTAACCAGTGCACAGTTCAACTGATCTGCTCCGTTTAATCATCCTGGAAATGGACTGTATTAGCGGAGTAATAGTATTAGTTGGTGTAATTTTTCTGAAGAAATTACTGATGATACTGTAGTATGCAGCTGGAGCAGATGCTTCCGGTGGCGGTGGAGCCGTTGCATGCACCGTTCTGCCGCCGCTGCAAGTCCAGTGTCAGCTCACGTGAGTGACTCATGGCCCCACCTGTCAGCGTGCATCGGTACTCAGTGTGTTGTCCTTTTGCTTGTGGCTGCCAGGTGGGCCCCACTGGCAGGCGGTTTGGCCGTGCGTGGGGAGCAGCATCCGTGGTCAAACTTATGCTGTTCCCAGTAAAACTGTAAAAAGGTGGTGTAACCAACAGCTTTCGACCTGTTCACTTTGACGTAAAAAAAACATTACCAATTTTTGGTATAGTTGTTAAAAATTGTCAAAATTTTGGCAGTATTTCTTATATAGTTATAAAAATTTGACAATAAACTAAATAGCCATTTTTTAAACAACTTTATCAAAATTTGGTAAGATTGAAAATGGCACCAAAGTGAACAGGTACTTCGTGTCGGGACTCGGGGTGGTAAAAGAAAAAAGCGTGAGATCAGACGGTGAATATCGAACGGTGGGGAGAGAGCCGAGGAGAAATGGACGGTTCTCGTTAGCGTTGTTGTACAGAGCCTCGCGAGATGGGCTGGGCCTCCGTGGAATAGTAGAAGGCCCAAATGGACTAAACAAGGCCGCTCATGTGAATACAAGCACACGGCCTTTTTTTTAATTTATGGGCTTTTCTGAGAGCCCATCACTTTTAGGACTTGGTTAGTTCGCGAATAGAAAATTTTTAGGTGTCACATCGAACGTTTGACCGGATGTTGGAAGGGGTTTTAGACACGAATGAAAATACTAATTCCATAACTCGTCTAAAAACTGCGAGACGGATTTTTAAGCCTAATTAATTGTAACACCCTGAAAATTCGACCGACAAAATCAAAACTCTAAAAATACGGATTTTCAAAAACTTTTTAAATTAATTGCATCATGCCGATCTTATTCGTCTATTTTACCTGGATTTGATCTCGAAGATTATTAATCGTGAGTAAAGAATAGTTAATTAGGAGTAAACCGTAAAAACAAAATTGGTAAAATACATACAAATTAAAATAAAGATTAGGTGGGGATAGAAATAAATAAAATATTATCGCGACTATATTTGGATCAATTAAATTTAAATACGATGGAATAAGAATTAACCCTAATTAAAACTCAAATAAATTATATAAAAATAAAATATGAGTAATATTAATCTAGGGTGAATTCATTAGTTAAGATAACACAAATATTGAGTAAAATGCATATATGCAAAATTAAGAATTGTGGAATCAAATTTATATGGAAAATACACTAAAATCGGGTTAATTAGAAAACGGTACTGTTCATTGCACCTAAGGTATTCGACGCGGTCCCCTAACCCAGCTCCTCCTCTTTCCCCCTCTCCCTCGTCGCCTGCCGCCGAGCCACCGTCGCCATCGCCATCTCATCGCCGCGGCCGCGCCGTCGCCGTCGCGTCCCGCCTCGCGCCGCGCGTGCGTCCCATCGTCGCCTCGCGCCGCGCGCCACCACTGCCGCGCCGTCGTTGTCGCCATCCCGTCGCCGCGTGCGCGTTCCATCGCCGCCTCGAGCCGTGCCGCTGCCGCGCCGCGCGCCGTCCCATCGCCTCGCGCCGTTGCCATGTGCCGCGCCGCCTTACGCCCCGAGCCGCGCCGCGCCGTCGTCATCTCCGCCCGCGCGCCGCGCGCCGTCACATTGCCGCCGTGCGCCGCCGTCCCATTGCCGCTGCCGCACCGCGTTGCCGTCGCGTCCTGTCGCCCTTGAGCCCCGCGCCGTCCCGTCATCGCCCCGCCTGTCACGCCGCTCCCACGCCACCCGTCGCGTCGCCCGTCTCGAGCCCCGCACCGCCGCCCGTCGCATCGCCGCTCCGAGCCCCGCGCCGCCATAGCGTCGCCGCCCGCGTGTCGCCATCGTCCCGTCCAGAGCGCCGCCGTCGCGTCACGCCGCCGCCCCTCCCCCTCTCCTTTCCCCCCTCTCTACAAATACCCCCCCCTCTCCATTTTCCCCCACCCCATCTCACCCTTCCTCCCCTCTTCCCTCTCCACTGCGCCGCCGCTCTCGTGCCACCGAGCCGCCGTTCCCGTGCCGCCGCGCCGTCGCTCTCGTGCCGCCGTGCCGCCGTTTCCGCGCCGCCGTTCCCGTGCCGCCGTGTCGCCGCTCCCGCGCCGCCGTGCGCCACCGTCGCCGCCGCCGTCGTCGCCGCTGCCGCCGCCGGTGAGCCGCCCTCCTTTCCCCTTGCGTCCACCGCCGCCGCTCGGGTGGGATAGAGCCGAGAAAGAGAGGGAGAGAAAAGAGAGAAAAAGAAAGAGAGGGAGAGAAAAAGAGGGAAAATAGAAAAGAAGAAAAGGAGAAAATAGAAGGGAAATTGGGGGAGAAATTAGGAGGATTTAGGAAATAAAAATGGTCGGGGTTAATCATAGATTATTTTTGGAAATTCCTCGAGCGTAATAGTATTTCGGTCGAAATTCCGAGTTAATTATAAAAATATGTTTCTTGATCAAATTAGATTAAAATTGGTAGTAATTTAGATATAATTAATAACTAAACAATTAGATGAATTCTTATAGATTATTATAGATTATTTTTGGTAATCTCTATAAGTCATCGGTTCACGGTAGAAATTCGGATTTAATTACTAGGAATTTTACCCGTGTATTATATTTAATTATTTAGTCATAGACTAAATTAAATCGTATAATAATTCTAGGATTCCGTCCGATATTTAGCTCGCGATAGAAATTTCTAACCTATTATATGGATATAATGCTCGGGTAGATTAAATTAAAAACTTGTGAGAACAAAACATTTATACCCGCAAAATAGTTTGAATCGAAATTGGGTTTGCCCTAGTACGCGAATAGTAAAGTTAATATAAAAGAATCGACTTTCGCGTTCGACTTCCATTTGGATTTATTTGGATTTTTATTTGAATTCTAATCGAATTCAAATCAATTTTTGCACGTAACTATAGAGCCCGAGGGAGTTGCGGATCCAAGCGAAGGCCAAGACCCGCAAGACTTTGAGCAAGGCAAGTCATCACTATTCCTTGAACATGTTGATCCCAATTGCGAAATTGTTTTGTTTACAAATAAAATTGCATGCAATGATGAACATCCTACTTGTGATTATGCCATGCCTTGATTATTGTTTACCCTTAAATCTTTGTAACCATATTTACGTATGAGTCCCTAGTCAACTATGACAATTGCTTAGAAATGCTATTCTAGAATCATGCATACTCATATTTATCAAATGCTATATGCTTGGGCAATTACCTTCGGGAAGGTAATTGAGATGCGGCATGTGGAGACATGAGCGCCACATTACCATGATGTTGATGACATGATTTGTGAAAGGAGAAATAAAATTAAAACAACTGTTTTCGACTGGGGCGGATGGAGGATTTGGGTGGTATCTGGAAAAGGCTAGTACCGTCCCCAGTTAATTAAGGACCGAGCCATGAAGTTAAGCATGAAACGACCCCCGTACAACCGTACTTCTCGAATGGGTATAGACCTAACAGATTAGATAGCCGAGCGGAGGCAGTATCCCTGCATAGATGGTTCACCCCTGAGTGAGGCAGGTGCGTTACGATGGGACAGCCGTTGAGGTAGGGCCGAGAGGCGTGCCCTACATCGGTGTTGCCATTGGTAGGACTGCCATGAGTGTGTGAGAGAGAGAACTTAACTTGAACCATAATTTAATATGCGTGTGAGACTTCTCTTTCCCCGGGAGCGCCAGAACTCCTCTCACTGCTAGAAACATGGACGCCTAGAGTGCATGAGGATTTAAGTTCATGGAGCGGGTACTGCCAATGCGAGGTTATCGAAAAGCTTTGCCGTGACGCGTCTCATGTGTTGGGATGAGGCTCATGTGTTGGGCAGTCGCGGAGTGCGGGTAAAGTGTACATCCACTGCAGTGTGAGTAAACCGAATCTATTCGAATAGCCGTGCTCGCGGTTATTGAGCACCGGGACATGTATTACACTTGGCTAGACTCTAAATTCTTTAACTTGTGTGGGATGGGATATTGCATGATGATTTTTATGCTGATGGAGCCACTTCCTGAGAGGCGGGAATGTGGACGTCCTCAGAAAACCATAACGACTCAATGACGGGAAGCTATCCTTGGGATCACAATGGATGGTGGACAGAACCGTCATTGTTTAATATGAACACTGGTATTAAAAACTTGATCAGTCTATGCTAGGTCTTAGGCTTGTGAAAAGAATTGCAAAACTTGCTTTGCGCGAAAGAACCATAGCCATCCTTTGAATTCCTCTGTCATGTGCATCATTGCTGTGATGGCTTGCTGAGTACGGTTGGTACTCACCCTTGCAAATATAAAATTAATCAGAAGCGGGAGATGAAGCCTCGGAGGATCCCTATGCCTACTACCAGGAGGGAGATGAAGACGATGGCACTCAGTAGGTCTTAGTATGGTCGTTGCCTGTGGCAATGGCATGCCGCTGCCTGAATTCCGCTGCCTTATCTATTTCTGCTTTTGGATGTATTCCGGACCGCTCGGTCCGATGATTTAAGACTATGCCTACGGGCTTATGATGTAATAATTCGTATTAGACACTCGTGTATGTGCACTTGGTATTTCAGCTATGAATTCGTGTGTACCAGACTACTTGATCCAGGGAAATGGTACTGTTTACACGATTGATTCCTGTTATAAAAACGGGGGTCTACATTAATCCATCATTAGCACATGTGGGTTACTGTAGTACTTATGGCTAATCATGGACAAAATAGGCTTAAAAGTTTCGTCTCGTGATTTACATATAAACTGTGTAATTAGTTTTTTATTTTATCTATATTTAATACTCAATGCATGTGTACAAAGATTCGATGTGACGTTTTTGAGAAAAAAATTTGGTAACTAAACAAGGCCTTACCCACTCTGTTCGATAATTTTTTAGGTAGTACTTTGTTTATATTTTTTTCTCGATTATACGATAAGGCCCCCTTTGAATCACAGGAATAAAAAAACGGGGGAATAGGAAAAACATAGGATTCTGATAGGAATACAAGTGTAAAACAGAGGATTGCAAAACACAGGAAAAACATAGGAATGACCGTTTGATTGAGCCGCAGGAAAAACACAGGAATTTGAGGAGAGAGAAAGACTCAAAGGATTCTTAACATGAGGTAGAACCTCATGTTAAATTTCCTTCAAAATTTGCATGGGAAGAGGCATTCCATAGGAATTTTATAGGATTCCATAGGATTTATTCCTTTGATTCAAAGCGCTATATAGAAAAAATTCCTATAGGAATTAAATCCTTTAAAATTCCTATGAATTTCCTTTGAATCAAAGGGGGCCTAAATGAATATGCGTACACACAACTACACACACAATACCACGTTTACACATACACGAATACGTCCCATAACACACACTTAAAGAGACGAAAATTAGCAGCACGATTTTAATCTCACTAAATTTTTGGTGAAAGTTAACTTGTGCGTGCATATTATTCATGAGCGCATGGTTTTTCTAACAAATTTGTGACCCGTAAATAAATTTATGATAGTAATATTCTGGCAGGAGTAACACTTTGTAAAAATCAACGTTCATTTTTCCCCCATTCCTTTTGCGCGTGAATTTGGAGCTCAAATTCAGTTTCACGAGCTAAGCTAGTGGAGTACTCTGTGGCAGGCATCCATCAGCTATACAAAAATTTACCGAAGTTTAGTACAAATTGTTGGTGTGTGTGAGAGGCCATGTGACACATTCTGTGTGGATCGTGTCTTGGTGTATGGGGGACAATTGTCTCATGCACTGAGCTGGCCTTGCTATTAATTAGGCCGCCTGATCAGGTGGTTAGTTAATCCCCACTCCCCATACAACTACTTTTTAGTTCTCCTAAAAAATTGTCACATGCATGTGCCTCCTTCCCTGCCTCTTGTACACTGTACAGTTCTGTGTGAACAGAAAAAAAAAACCGCAGTATTGGGATGAATGCATGTTTCTGAAATTTCGTTTAGAGCGGTACAATAGTAGACTATAAGCCAGCTATAGACATATTTTAAATAGAGAAAGGAAGAGAGATAAAAGCAGCGGGCTACAAATCTGTAGCCAGCTGCAGCACGGACTCCAAGACGTAATGTGTGTATGACAGGTGGGACCAGATATTAATAGTATAGTAAGCAACTATTGTATGAATTGGCTATTGTATTGGCTATAGATGATTTAGAGCCAGTAGTGAGCTATACTATTAAACTTATTAAACTTGCTCTTAGGCAAAGATGGTTTCTCATTTCAGGTCAAGAGAGCTGTCCCAAATAATTGACTTAATTTGCACTCCATGCACAGTACAGGAGTACTAGGCTACTATGCTCTTGCAAGTTTCTAGTACTCTTTTGTCAGTCTCTCACCCAAAAGAGCCAAAAGGGTTGCTCCAGCTGATGCCTTTACCTGAATACCCGCCGTAATTTCTGTGATAAATTTTGTCATTCCCATCACAGTAGGAAAGATTCAGAACACTGAAAAGATCCCTCTTCTCAGAGCAAGTTTAATATTATAGGCAACTACTTTCTCCAAATCATGTATAGTCAATTTAGTAGTTAACTCATACAATAGTTACGTATAACATATACTCCCTCCATTTTAAAATATTTGACACAGTTAACTTGTTAGCACATATTTGACTGTTCGTCCTATTAAAAAAATTTGTGAAATATGTAAAATTATATGTGTACATGAAAGTTTATTTAACAATGAATCAAATGATATGAAAAGAATAAATAATTACTTAATTTTTTTAATAAGACGAATGGTTAAACACGTACTAGAAAGTAAACGGTGTCAAACATTTTGAAACGGAGGGAATACTACACAATTCATACTTGGTCCCACCTGTCATACATATGTATCTTAGAGTCTGTACTGCAGCTGGCTACAAATCTGTAGTCCACTGATTTTCTCTCTCTTCTTTTATCTCATCGAAATGTGTTTATTGCTGACTTATAGTTTGCTATTGTATAGTTTGCTATTGTACCTGCTCTCAGTTGTCACTTTCATTGCAACTTCTGGCACTAAAACATTAGCATTTGAATAAATGCAGGTGATTTCTAGGGGTAATCCAAGCACTCACATTTATGTACTCCATGCAATGCAAGAACGTTTTCATGGCCCTGTTGTGCTCGTGACAATAATATCCTTGCAGAAAATGAACATAAGATGGGATTTTTTTCTCTCTCTCTTTATACATAAAACAAAGAGAATATACATGATCCATACATTCCTGCAAAATTCCAAGTTTCCAACGTACTATCCCCCACATTACAACTCAACAACAGCTACGGCATCCACATCAATGTCTCAGCTGCAAATGTCAATGACAGTATTATTCTAGCTGATGTGCAGTGCACGGACACAGTTATGCCGCCGATATACTCGATTAGTACAGCTACTGATCACACACCCCCACCCAAATCAATCAAAGAATCTTTCCGTAAAGTGGACAAGGATAAAAGAGAAAGGGAAGAACAATTGGTGAAAGTGATCAAGAAAAGAAGGGAAAGTGACAACCAAATCACTACTAATCTTTTTAACTTTCTTCTTTCACTTCTTTTAACCGGGAAATTTTCAGTTTTTTTAGTAACTTGTTGCCTACGATGCATGCATGTCCTAGTAGAAAATAATCGCCTACCTAATTAACTAACTACACTTGCAGCATTTGCAAAGAACAAATCGAACCCAAAAAAATCGGAGTGGAAATTGGAAGAAAATTTGTGTTCCTTTTTCTGTTTGGAGAGTTGAATTGTGTGTGGAGAATTGAGAGAGTTGCATGTGGATGTGGTGGTGGTTAGGGTGAAGACCTCTTCTTGCGGAGGATGACCTCGGTGTCGAGGCCGAAGGCGTCGACCTTGGAGATCCTGACCACGTCGGAGCGGCGGAAGAGGCCGACGAGGCCGTGGACGTCGAGCAGATCGTTGGCCGAGTACTTGTCGCCGCGGCGGTGCACCGCGACGTGCAGGACGGCGACGCCGCCGGGGCGGAGCGTGCGCTCGATCTCGGCGACGAAGCGGCCCGGGTAGAGCGCGTGGTCGAACACGTTGGAGAACTCGAAGTCGAAGGTGTCGTTGGCGAACGGCTGCGCGTGGAAGTCGCCCCTGACGACGAGCGGCGGGGCCGGGGCGAGGTCGATGCCGACGGCGTCGCGGACGCCGACGAGGCGGAGCGCCGCGACCTCCTGGCCGAGGCGCGCGCCGACGCAGAGCGCGCGGGAGGCGTTGGAGAGGAGCTTCCCCCCGCCGTCGTCGCGGAGGAGCGCGGCGAAGGCCCGGGCGAAGGCGTCCACCTTGCGGTGCCAGTCGCGGGTGGCCCAGACGCGGCGGAGGCGCGGGTCGAGCGTCTTGTTGAGCTGGTGGCGGAGGTAGTCCTCGTAGGAGCGGAACCCCGCGCGGCGCATGCGGATGTGCGGCGAGGGCGGGGTCGGGGAGAGCGGGACGGCGAACGCGACGGGAGGAGGAGGAGGGGAGGAGGAGTAGGAGTAGAGGAGGAGGAGGGAGAGGAAGGGGATGAGGAGGAGGAGGAGGGAGCGGGGGAGGTGGAGGTGGAGGCGGGGCTTGGCGTCGGCGGCGGGCATGGCGGAGGCGGCGCGGCGCGGCGCGTCCGGTGCGCGGCGTGATGGCGTCCGTTCGGTGGCGGTGGATTTGTTTCGTTTCGTTTCGTTTCATTTTTGTTGTGCGGCGTGAGCTGTTGGGGATTAAGGGGTGGGTCCCACACTCCCACTCCCACGCGGTCGCGCTCATGCTTGGCACGCGGCATCCCTCTCTCCTCTCTGTCATCTTATTTGGCGTGTCCAAATGTAAGAGCATTTATATAGCTAGCTTTCCAATTGATTTGTCAAGCTAAACTCATTACCCACTTCAACAGCCTCTCTAACTACACTCTCCGACACTGGGACCCACACGTCAGCCTCTGCTATACCTTCTTCCTCTTTCTCTCCCTTTTTCTCTTTTCTTGGCACTTTTCGGATGCAGCGGCGTGGCAAGACAGAGAGGAGCGACGCCGACGATGGGAGGGCTGCGGGCGGCCGCGTCGGATGTGGCCGAGCGTGGGGGCATGGCCAGGCGTGGAGGCGGCCGCGGCGGATGCGGCCGGGCGCGGGGGCGGCGGCGCTGGATGCGGCCGGGCTGCAGCTTTTTCTTTTAGGCTTTTGGCTCCTTGAATCCGTGCAGGCGCGCAAGAATTCAATGGCGGTTCTTGGAGCTTCTTGGGCTGGTCACTGAAGGTACACTGATTAGTGATTACTGAGTACTCATGACTGTGCAAGAATATACGGCGAAGTTCTTTGTTTGTTTGTTTGCAATTTTTGATGTTTTTCTTCTTGGCAATCGGCTAAAACCCAAAACCTTCTGAAGAAAGGCAGACTTTACCATGTTCTTGGCTTTGATCTGGTTGGAATCAATCCCTTCGAAGACCCGCATACTTTCGCCTTCGAATCTGCGCATGTTTTACTTCCTGTCTCAACCATCTTGAATCGTTCTTGGAGCCTGATGCTGCTCTGCCTCACCTTTGTAGTAGTACGCAGTCTTGCGATGCAGTCGGCGACGGAGAAGGTGAGGAGGACGCCCTCCTCCTGCCTGCTGCTGTGCATCTCCGACATCTGCAAGGATGCGGCTGGGCATGGGGGCGGCGGCGCCGGATGCGGCCGCGGCAGCGGCGGGGGCGGCGGTGGCCGGCTGGATGGAAGGGGAGGGGGCATGGGGCCCACCGTTTGGCCAGCGGTTGTGGCTGGCTAGATTTGGCCAGCTGCTAGCAGGATTTGGCCAGTGGGATGGCTTGGCCAGAGAGTTAAGGTCTTTTTTTTTTCATATGTTGGCTATAATTTAGCTTGGAGTGGCATTTGGCCATACTCTTGGAGATGCTCTAATGTGACCGTTTTTCTCTTTTCTTTTTTTTTTCCCTGAAGAAGATTTGTCCGTTTAAGGCTTGTTTAATTGGTGAAATGAAAATTTTTGGATGTCACATCGAACGTTTGACCGGATGTCGGAAGGGGTTTTCGGACACGAATGAAAAACTGTCGGTGATATGGTCCCGGGGGTATCATGTTTAGAGGGAGGAGGCTGCCCCCCAATGCCACGTGGCCCTCTCCCAAGGGAAGTCAGGCCCGAGGTGGGGTGGCGGCCACTCCTTCCCAAAGACTAGTCGGAGGAGGCTGCCTCCCAATGCCACGTGGCCCTCCCTAAGGGGAGTCGTGCCCGAGGTAGGGCGGCGGCCACTCCCTGGTCGAGACTAGAGGGAGAAGGCTGCCCCAAACGCCACGTGGCCCTCCCCCGAGGGGGGATTGGGCCCGAGGTCGGGCGGCGACCGCCCCCTCCCGTGACTAGGGGTCGGGCTCCCCCGACCCCCTCTCTAGGTCACCACGTACTGTGGGTTAGGTGTCCGCCTACAGGTGCTCACCTACCCGCATTTATAGCGACCTGAGCGGTCGCGCCACTCCGCATTTAATACGGCGTGCAGTGTACTCAACCGGTCGAATGACCGATGTGACTGGCTAGTGCACTTATGCGCTGCTCGTGTGTCAGGCGGCGTGCAGCCTGACATGTCCCATCAAATAATGATGGTCAGAGGTTCTCATCCTCTTATCCCAGCCAGAGTCGGTCTCACGCTCTGGTCAAAGATAGGTTCCTGTTTCCCGGTGTAATAGGAGCCTAAAAGTCTTCACCCATTAAATGATGAATGACATGGGCGCCCCTTGTGTCAGGCAGCATTGTTTGGTAGGCCCCACGACCGAGGCGACGTGTATGCGGCTTCCAAGTTAAGGAACAAGACATGCATATGCAAAGATGGTAATAATTTTTGACGAAGTTAGGTTGTTGGGTCTATGTGATAACCCCTTGAGGTATAAAAGGAGGTCCAGGCCTAGTGAGAAGAGGGGGGGAGGACTTTCGAGCGAACTGGCGCTTGAGTCTCGCAACCCCAAGCACTTGTGTTGTACACTCAATCAATCAAGCACAGGAGTAGGGTATTACGCTTCTTAGCGGCCCGAACCTGTATAAACCCATTTTGTCTCATTGTCTTTGGGGGATTGAACCCCCTCAAGATGACACAGCTTCGCTCACCAAGCCCTCGAATCTCACCCGCTGCCCCCGGCCGAACTCACAAAGGGGGGGCCTCACGGTTCCCTGGTGAAGGAGTTCATTCTCCGACAAAAACTAATTTCATAACTCGTCTGGAAACCGTGAGACGAATCTTTTGAGCCTAATTAATTCGTCATTAGCACTTGTTGGTTACTATAGCACTTATGCCTAATCATGGACTAATTAGGCTCAAAAGATTCATCTTGCGATTTACATGTAAATTGTACAATTAGTTTCTTTTTATCTATATTTATGCTTTATACATGTGTCCAAAGATTTGATGTGATGTTTTTAGAAAAAGTTTTTGGGGAACTAAACAGCCCCTTAATCTACATGTAATCTGTATTTATATTATAAAAAAAAAATTGTATTATCAGACCCATTTTGTATTCTAATTTTTATAATGGTGTAAAGTAAATTTACTCAGAATATTTAAGTATATCAATGTTATCCGTCATTATTAAAGAAGGAGGAAGTATTAAAAGTGTCATGTTAATCTGGGAGTATAGCAAGGGAAGAGTGCTGTATCTCATAAAACATCACTCTAGCTCCTAGAGTGTCATATGGAAGCTTGGAACGTTTTCCTCCATGTTAAGAATTTTTCATGAAAATATGACAATTATAATGGTAACGGTCTAGGCGAACACGGGGAGCTGGCCAACCACAGCTGTAGCAACGTCGGCGGCGAGCACGGGAGTTCTCCTCCGGCGATGGGTCGGGGAACGCCAAATATTCAGACCGGAAGGAGTATATGTAAATATTTAAAAAATAGCATATTAAATTTCTCAAATCAACATCACTATAGCTGCTGGAGTAACATACTCACTCTGTCCTTAAAACTCCTAACTATGCATCTAGACATGACGCATGTCCAAATACATAGCTAGTTGGTTTTTTTTAGGACGGAGGGAGTATGGAGTCTAAGATTATTTTCCTCCATTTTGAGATTATTTTATATGAAAATATGGTAATAAATACAATAATAGTTCCATGGAATTATAAAATCAACCTTGATCATGTTAATCAGCTGAAAATTCTTGTGTACCACTGTGCTCTATTACAAGTTCATCACCATTTACAGAGCATTTCCTGAGGCTTAGAAAGGTGCCCTGATTCCTGACTGGCAACCAAAACAATGAGCTGATCTCAATTACCAGTATATAGGAGTATATAGACTATAGACCTATAATAGTGTAATTGCCTAATGATCTGTATGTGTTCTTCTAAGTTCTAACTACAAAATAACTGGGACTATGATAATGCTCTTCTTCACTTCTTGTATGGGTTTCCTCCAAGGACACGAAGAGAAGGCCGCCCTAATCAGACACTCAAGGGCTTCAGATATGGATAATCCTTTTGCATCCTCTCCTTCGAAAGAATATCATCCTTGTCTTGAGGTGCCCATAAAACGTGAATACCCTGAACAAAATTAGTTTGTCCAATTCATTAGGCACTCAACAAACAGATAATAATACTTATCAGAAAAGTGGTAAAAGTGATATGAGTAACTAGTAAATTCAAGCTGCGTTTTCCCTAGCTTGTTCAATAATATACCAAGAAGCAGTTGTGCTAGCTTACGATTTACGAAATACAAATGGAAATATTCCCCATACCTCAAGACCTGTTTCGGGTGTAGAGTAGAGCTTTGTCAAAGCAACTTTCAGATCTGCAGCGTTTGTGATCAATTTGGGGAAATCCATTGTTCCATCCGTAGCAACAAGAATGGTTAACTGGATGATTTGGAGATCAGAACAAATCAGTCATTAGACATCAAACAAATAAGAACGCCATTTTTTTTGTCAAGAAAGTGTCCTTTTATCATCATAATCAGCAGATCGATGGCAAATATTTCAAGAAGCATTTCACAAAGTAACAAGTCTAACATACCACTATATACTCGTTTTTGCTCCCATCCATCTTTGTAGAGTATTCTTTATTTCTCTTAACGCCTTCCAAATTAGAAAGCGTTTCTTCATCAAATTTGCCCCTTTCTTCCAACGAAATTTTCTTAAAATGACCATTCCAAGAGTCGCTGTCTTTTATATCAACCTAAAATAAATGGTTCAGCAAAATTATACGATTCAGTACGTAATTGCAGTGGGCGGAACATACAAAGGCTGTCAAATCGAGGGAGAGAAACTAGAAGCGAACACAAACTATGTCTGTCAGTCTACCAAAAGAATGTTAAAACTGTTTTTATTTCTTACTGATAAGCTTGTAGAGATGCAGTAATCCTTGTGGCGGTGCAATGAAGATATGGTATCTGAAATAAGATGAGTCACCAGAACATAAAAAATAAGCTACCATGATACATTGGACAATTGATAGTGGTCATAAGTATCTAAGTTATATGAAGTGTTAACAGTAACATTATTTTATAACCTTATTATAGGTACATTTTACCATCTCCTTCGGTCATCCCGACAAAAAAGAATATTTTACCATCACTTTAATACTAAATTGAGTCCTATGCACAAATAGATTAATTTCTGCAAAAAATGCTATTACTTGATAGTAGTACTTCTTGAACAGATCTACATCCATAAGCACACATGGAAAAACATGCTCAATATATATATCTCTGAACTTTCTGCAAGGTGCGTGCCGTGTGTGGCCTAAGCACAAATATATATTTCCCCTTCCTACTCCTAATGATCCATAAAAGTTGCCAACTAATCCTATATGTGGAGCTGATTGCACACTTGAAACCCTCATTAGAGGGCAACCTAGATAAGAGACTGACGTTGTGACTTTGTTTATCTTCAGATTCAGAAGCCAGGATATTATTCCGGTTTAAAACAGTAAAACTAACATACTACTCCCTCCGATAATAAATATTTGGCGTGAATGACTTTGGCTACAAAGTTTGACCATTTGTCTTGGTTCAATAAATTTATGTAAATATTATTAATTTTGTTGCTACTTGTCTTATTATTAAAGACATTTTAAGTGCGATTTATATTTAAAGCTACTAGCTAGTGTCAAATATAATCCATCTGCAATTAAGTAATTAGCATGGAACCACCAAAGCAGAATTCGATGTGCAAGAATTCAGAATAAATAGATTCTTTTTTTTTTGCGAGGAGAATAAATAGATTTGATGTGCAAGAAATTCAGAATAGGCATTACCGCTCAGTATGAACTTGTACCAACGTCGGCTAGAGCCTTGCACCCTCTCAGCAATCCGGTTCAGATCCTTCTGGAACGACTTCGCCGCAGCCACACCACCCAATGCAATCTAAATTGCGAGTAACAGAGACGAAGATAGATCATCCAATCAGTATATATACAATTTTGAATCAGTGATCGATCACTGATCATATCAAGAAACCCAGTCTGAAACTCTGAATTGCTCATGGACACTCTAAGATCAGATTCAGAGAAATTAACCTGAAGCTTGACCACACTGATGGTCCTCGGCGGGGGGATGCTTCTCTTGATGAGGAAGATGAGGCCGAACACTAGCCCACCGACGCCGAGCACCACCGCGACGCTGATCCAGAACTTCTCCCACGGGGTCAGGGCCACCGGAGGCGGCGGCGGCGGAGAAGCCGCCGTGCCGACCGATTCGTGAGTCTCCAGATCTGCGCTCTCCACCACCACCACCTTCTTCTTCTTCGGCGGAGAGGAGGAGGAAGAAGACGATGACCTCCATGAGTCGCTGCTCGAGGACCACGAAGAAAAGGAATCGGAGGACGACGAGGAGGAGAAGGAGGAGGAATAGGAGGATGAGGTGTCCGAGCACCCGCCCATGGATCCACCGGACAAGGCGAGCGCGGCGTGCGGGCTGGCCACCGCGGCAGCGGCGGCGGCGGCGGCGGCGAGCAGCGGAGCGGGATGGTCAGGTGGGTTCCGGTTGCGCGGCTCGTCCGAGTCGGGGAGCGCGTGCCGATCATCACACGCGACGGCGAGGGGAGTTACCGGCGGAGGACTCAGATGGATCACCGAGGCGGCGGCGGGTGACCGGAGGAGGAGGAGGAGCGGCGCGGAGGGGAAGCGGAGGTAGGGTTTGGACGGCGGCAGCGGCCACGACGAGGGCGAGCGGCATGGCGCTGTGGAGAGGAGGCGCGCGGCGATCGCCATTGCCGTGGTCGAGAAGGAGAGAGAGACAGAGCGTTTAGGGTTTAGGGCTTAACGAGTGAAGGCTGAATACATACTGGATTAAACGAAGCCTAATCCATTCAAATGTATTAAAGAAACTTATCCTCGTAGGATCATCTGTTATATATTCTTCTATGACTTAATAGAAATAATATGTTTTTTTTTTACAAATCATCATCAAAATCTTATATGCATTGGTTCTGGTTTGGGCTCAGATCAAGCTAATAAATAATGCACATCGCAAATTTGAGTCAACGATCATGCATATTTTCGTCAACTTTGGGTGGAGATTTACAACTAGGATTCAATAATTGTGTTTTCTTTATCTTGTGTTGGTGTCTATTTTGTGCTCCGAGTATTGTTAATTTCGGAGTGTGTATTGTGAACTCTATGGTGTGTGTTGGTTGTTGAATAAGTTTGTGTAATAAGTGGTTGTAGCTCTTTTTAAGTGAAGCATGATTTATTTCCATTATCTAAAAAATTAACATAAAGTTAAGTGAATATGCATTTGATTAAATTATTGTTGACGAAAAAATCGAACACCCCGACCTAGGAGATATGCTTAGCTCCAGTGCAGGTCCAAATATGATGAGATGTGGGCGTGTCAGTCAGTTTGATCCTGCAACTGACAAGATATGCAAATAGTAGATCAAAACAGCCGATCGGCTGACAAGCCGATGGAGTAGTTCTAGCCGGTAGCCAATAATAGTCGATGCTGATACCAGCCGATAGCGATAGGGTTTAAGCAATCGGCTATATGTCCAATGTAGATAATGATATAAAGGCAATCGACTGATGATGATGTAATAAAATAACAATATAATCCAGTATAAACCAATCAGCTAGCAATGATATGATAAATAAGCATCGATCCGAAGGTTAAAGCACACATTGTCTAGAGGTCCGATGTCATGAAATCCACAAGATTAGATTAAACAGTGAAACCTTTGTTGTCATCGGCGAAATCCAACTTATATGTATGTGCAATCCTTATGAGCCGATGCAACGTCCAGATAACTCACCGGCTGAAACCCCGATGAAACCCTTATTGGCATCAAGAAGTAGGCTAGAGATTATGGTTCTAAGCATGACTTAGTAGATCAAATTTAACTGATGCAGCACTAAGTATGAAAAGAAACATAATATCTAGACAATCAAGCAGTTGACTGATTTTTAGGGTGGTAGATGTATGAGCTAATCTAATCTAGCAACGCGATTTAGCCGATATCGGCAGAAACCCTAAAATGAGAAGCAGCCGATAGAGCTAAATTGATATGCTAAGACTAGATTAATAGAGACATATGATAAATATGTAGGCAAATATATCATCCAAACTAGAGCAATCCAAGAGGTCGAATGTACTGATGCAGCCTTAAATAACGCCGATGTAGATGAGACAATTGCTTGGGCCGACGGAACATTGGACTTATCCCTTCGCCGGAGATTGAAGATGATGCAGCCCCGCGTCGGGTGCCAAGTTCCGCCAGAACGTAAAAAACAAAAATAGAAGTAAAAAGGGTGGCGATGCGTCGAATTGTATTGATCATAGAGATAGATTACATAGACCCCGGGTGTACATATTTATACCCATGGGTTGATACAAGTCCTTGTCGGACAAGAAAGAAACTAACCTAAAGATAAAAGGAAAATATAAAGTCCTTATTGGACACTAAACACACTTTCCTAAAGATAAAAAGAAACTAACAAATTATTCCTAATTAATAGATAAATTGCCATGCCGTATTCTCTTTAAACTCGGTCACTTAGAGATAAGCTTCCTTTAGTAGATTGATTTCCTTAACCGAATATAGCAGGAATCCGACTATTGGCGACTTGATAACTCCCATCGGCTGATTCCGAGATGCTACAGCCGATAATGATTCTAAGCCGATGATGTCTTTGCCGATTACCAAATTTCACTGTTAATAATTATTGAATAATTAAAGTTTCGGAAAGACGCAATTTACCATTATTGTCACTGCTCCAAATTATTTAGTGTGTCTTAAATAAGATATTCTTGCCGTGATCCAGAAAATTCAATTGTAAATTCAGTATGATGTGTCAGAAGTGTAAGAAGCAGACAAGTAGCAGCAGTCAATCTGTTTGTTCGTTTATGTTTCTAAAGAACAAATGTCACGAAACCCATGTTTTATGGTTGAAATTACACAAAACTAACTACTGTGATTAGTAACACAAAACCCACCGCTATACATGTTGAGCACACACTAATTTAAAATTTGAGCAAATTTCACAAAACTACGGGTATTTTGACCAAATTATCACAAAACTACAGATTTAAGGCGTTGTATCACAAAACTAAAGATTTAGCACCAAATTTATCACAAAACTACACATTTATGCTTAAGTATCACAAAAATGCATATTTAATATTGAAGTTATCACAAAACTACAGCTTTTGAAGTTTAAATTTATAGCACAATTGTTATGTTGGAGCTATAAACATTATTGCTTTGTGACTAAATTGGTTCTAAACATGTAGTTTTGTGATAATTTAGTTACTAAACATGTAGTTTTGTGACACTTCATCTTAAATTTGTAGTTTTGTGATAAATTTGGTGTTAAATGTGTAGTTTTGTGATACACTGAGTTAAATCTGTAGTTTTGTGATAATTTGGTCATAGTATCTGTAGTTTTGTGAAATTTACTCTTAAAATTTTAAAATATAGACCGTATATGAAAATTTTAAGTTGATTTTGTATTAAGGTTGTTTGGTTTAAGTACTCCCTGCTACTTTTAAAAATGTTATTTTAGGTATGATGAAATTAATTGAGATTTGAATATGAGTGGGTACATAGATCGAACTGACATCCACCTCTAATAAACTCCATATAATTCACATTTTTTTGCATGCAAGTAAAACAGCAAGAACAAAGTTCCTATCCCTTAGTATTATTAGGATCTTCTTGTACTGACGGTTCTTTTGGCTCTCCAAGCAAAAGTTGCTTCTCTTCTGACTCTCCAAACAAAATTTGTTTGAATTTTGACTCTCCAAGTAAAAGTTGTTTTGACTCTCCAATTAAAACTTGTTTTAGGGGCCTCAGATATGGATAGTCCTTTAGTAGCCTCTCTTCTGAAAGAGCATCATCCTCTTCTTGTGGAGTCCATAGAATTTGAACACCCTGAAACAATAGGTCCAATATAGTTAGGATTAGGATATGATTAATTTGAGAGTGAATGATTACTCACAAGAATTAATGAGGTTGCATTGCAGGAGATGCAGTATCCTTAATTTTAAATATTGGTTGTGTGTTTGTGTGCCGATTGTCAGAAATCAGATATGTAAACCATTTTCATTTATTTAAAAAATTGGTGCATATATATAAGATAAGAGGACGTGTAAATGAAATGAATAACATGCATGCTAATATACCTTAATTTCACTTGCATGTATACCGTTGAGCATTCCCAGTACTAATCGCAGATCATCGGCGCTTCTGATTTGGGGAAACTTCAGTTTTCCCTCAGCAGCAAGAATAATGGTTAACTGCATGATTTGACAATAATCCCCAAACAAATATCTTAGTAAAAAAGCATGCCTCAATCGATCATTAATTAGATATAGAGTTCCAAGGCAACCACTGACGAGAAAAAAAAAATCCTGTAAGCATATATGCAAGCTTAGGAAAATTTTGCATACCACTATGTACTCTTTTCTGCAGCTTTCAGGATTTTTGGAGTATTTTTTACTTATCTTGATTCCCTCCACGTTAAATAGAGTTTCTTCATCAGTTTTGCTCCTCTCCTCAATAGAAATCTTATCAAAATGCTCCTCCCAAGAATCGATTTCGTCGACTGTTTTTTTCACATCAGCCTAAAATTAAATGTACACCCAAATAACAAAACACGGTGAGTTAATTCACAGGGTCATAAATTAGTGGAACACAAAAACGTTGCGTTTGTCTCGAAATTAAAGGTTCTGAAAATTGTATATTTTTCTTACCGATAAGGCTGAAGAGAACCAGTAATCTTTCTGACGGTTCAAGGAACATATCGTCTCTGCACAAATGGGGCATGAACATATATAAATTTCTCTTCTACTCTAAGTATCAAATTGTGCAGTGTAGAATCAATAATGTATAACAGCCGACTGCAAGAATGAATTTAGGGTTTAGAGAAATCAACAAATCGCATTATATTACCCGTTAACATGAATTTGTAGCGACGCTGTTTTAGTAGTGTCCACCTTGGCAGCAATCGTATTGAGATCCTTTTGCATTGTCTTTGCCAGAGCCTGCAACGCTACCTGAATATTGTGACAATTTACAAACCCCCAATGATATTAGTGATACACAATAATTGGGACAAATTAAATGCAATTAGATCACTGATCAAAATGGTCTAAATTAATACGCTCTACGTTCTTCACAGTTGACCGGCATTATTCAACTTTGAACATTAATAATTTTTCAATTGGTTAGACTACGATAAACGGAACTTTACGCTAGCTTGTGCTTACGATGCAACATAATATCATGACATCATTTTTAAGTATTTACTCCCTCCATTCAAAAAGTCTAATACCTATTTCTTTTGGCACCAAGACCAAGGAATATAATACTCATCCACCATGTGACAAAATTAATGAACATGCAACCAATAAATACAAAAATAGCTTTTTAGGTTTCGATCAACCATTTAATTTAACACATAGTGATAACAAATAGAACTTAAGACTTTTGGAAAAGCCATAGAATGGAATAGATATTAGACTTTTGAATAGAGGGAGTATAAAATAGTAAATTTCACAAAATTATATATAATTTAATCAAAATATCAAAGTATACTTTAGATTTAATAAAGTATCGTATAATAAAATTACAGATTTAGTAACGAAGTTATCCAAGTATACTTTAGAGTTTATATCCATATATAACACTATTGAGTTTATAAAAGTTATAGTTATATGATAAAACTGATATTAAATCTGTAGTTTACTAATTAATATGATATATTAATAAATCTATAGTTTTGTGAAAAAATATTGTTTAATATGTAGTTTTCTAATATACTTTTTTAAATATGTAATTTTGTGATAGATTGATCAAAGCAGTGGCGGATGCAGGATTAAAATAAAAATGGGGCGAAGATGCTCATCTCAATAAGAACAACTAAACGCAAAAATATCATATTTATGTTGTAATCATATAAACATATAGTATAATCAATAAATTAAGGCAAACAAAAAAACAAAAATGATATTAAAATAAAGTAATAAATTTTGCGCCATACATAAAAAGATAGATATTAAAATCGTAGACGCGTGACAAAGTCAGTGGCATATAATAGATTCTCTCAAAAAGATACTAGTAAACATATCAATTTGTAAATATGAATCAATTCATAAAGAATGGTTGATAGATATCTTTTAAAAAATAAATATATGAGAAGATATCGCATACCCAGAATAAGATGATTATTATTTTGCTTAGAAGGGAGAGAGAGAAAAACATTAGGCACCTAACTATAGAAGGGGACGGGGGTGAGCAGTGTCGAGAAATTGACTCAGAAAAGCATCACATACGCAGGATTAAAATTAGACACTTTGGCTGCTTATTTATGGGCCAATTATGAATTGGATGTGGTGGTAGGCGGCCCAAGAAGAATATGGAGGGTTGGGGCGGCACGGGTCGTAGCTGGGCCGGCCGCCCAACCCCGCCTAATGGGTGGTACCGCCCCTGGATCAAAGTATTTGTAGTTTTGTGAAATTTACTTATAAAACAATTTACAAAAAAGGTGACCAGTTCAAAATTTAAATATGAATATTGAGGGATTAAGGTTATAAACCAATTGAATTTAAACTTTAAAGCTAGGTTGGGTATTTTTGTATGGTCGATAAACTCACCTGGAGCTTGACGACGGTAGTCTTCTGGTTGCTGGCCAAGGTGCAGAGAAAGATGATAGTGATACCGACGGCGGCGGCCAACAGCACGTACGGACATATAGGGCAGCTGGTGGTATGGGCCGCCGGAGTCGGCGGCGATGATGACCTCGTCGGTGATGGCGGGTAGTAGTGGTAGTGTCTCACCGACGGAGATGACGACGACGACGACGACGATGACGACGAGTAGGAGGAGGGGGATGGGGAGGTGTCGCGGCCGCCCATGACGCCCCCGGACGCCGCGTGCGCGGTGCGCGGTGTGGCCGCCGCAACGACGGCGGCGGCGGCGCCGAGCAGTAGTAGAGAGAGATCAGTGGGCCCCTGCTTCGGGAGGAGGCGCCCTCGCTCGCCGCGAACGCGAGGGTAGGCGGCGGCGGTGGCGGCGCCATGGCCGCACGACTGGGCCAGAAGAGATGGCGGCGGAATACAGTCGACGGTGACGGCGACGGCGAGGCCGGCGGCGCGCGGCATGGCGTTCTCGCGAGGGGGAGCGGCGAAGGGCGGCGCAGACCGGCGGCGATCGCCGTCGCGAAGCGGCTGGGAAGCCGAGGCCACTGCATGGTTTGGTTTAGATAGCAAGGGTTTGTTCAAGAGCGATCTGTCGTACGTAATCACCAGTAAATTGTTCCGACAAATTAGCCCAAAAAATAGCTAATCTCGCGAAAATTAATTACTTGTGTGTCAAGCAAATAATTTGCTTCAAGATTCGTGATGATGACTACAAGTCTATTTGGTTCTCTATCCTACCAATTCAATAGTAGTACCAATATCTAGATTAATTTTGGCACTACCAACTCTTTCGATATTGGTAATTCGCGCGTACGCGCGAGATCAGCAAGTCGCGAGCGTTTCGCGACGGCAACGCCTCAGCTTCATGTCTGACATGAGCCTGCTGGGCCTAGTGACTTTTCAACAATGATTAACGATGATTCAATAGTGACACACTCAATTAGTAGTAGTATATGCTAATTGTAATTGGAAAACCCACTGCATACATACATACATTGATTAGAACATTTAACTAAACTTTTTAACATAAGATTTAATTTTAAAATTGAAAATTTTAAAAACTTTCAACTCAGAATTTGAAAACTTTCCACTCAGCATGTGAAAACTTTTGATTCAAATTTGAAATTTTTCAATTCAGAATTTGAAAACTTTCCACTCAGTATTTGAAAACTTTCGATTCAAATTTGAAAGTTTTCAACTCACAATTTTAGAATTTTCATCTCAAAATTTTAAAACTTTCGATTCAAATTTGAAAGTTTTCAACTCACATTTTTAGAATTTTCATCTCAAAATTTTAAAACTTTCAACTCAAAATTCGAAACTTTCAAATCAAATTACAAACTTTCAAGTCAAATTTCAAAAACTTTCAACTTAATTGTTGAAACTTTCGACTTAATTTTGAAAACTTTCAACTTCAATTTCAAAAACTTTCAACTCAACTTGAAAATTTCTATGTCAAAATTTTAAAAAGTTGAAATCAAAATTTAAAACTTTCAACTCAAATTTCAAAATCTTTTGACTACAAATTTAAAACTTTCAATTACTTTTCTAAAATGATTGGTAACTGAATTATTTATGTTTGTTACGGTTTTAAAAATAATACTAATAACAGTAATTAACACTAATTATCATAATTAGCGGCGGCAGCGCGCGGACTAGTCGTCAGGGGGACGGCGCGGCTGCGCAAGTTAAGCAGCGGACGCGCACGCGCCTCCTAGGAACCCCCAATTCTTTGGTAGGATAGAGTTCATATAATATGTGTTTGGTTTGCTACCAATATGCTTTTTATAGTGAAGAAAGTTCTAGAGTACTACCAAATTAGGTATGGGTATTGCCAATGCATTGGCTCTAATCCAAACCAATCAAACTACTATTTAAATTACCAAACAATTGGTATGGCACATTTTGAAATCAATCCAAAATGGCCCTAACATGTGCAGCCGGAAACAAACACGAGATTCAATCGTAAATTCTACTTTATTTTGGCACTCGTTAGTTGTGCGTTTAGATAAAAGATAAAGTTAGGCCATGAACTACAGGAAAACTATTGGCACATGACTAATGAAATTTTAATTATTATTATAAACTTGAAAACTCGATTTATATTAAAATGACTTATATATAGAAAGATTACATATGAATGCACCGTTTATTAGTTTGAAAAACATGCTAACGAAAACCGAGATAAAATTTATACCTTAATCAGAAAAATAATGAAACTTCAAAACACAATTTAAAATGCATCGTTGAGCGATTTGAGTCAGTTTCTCTCTTATACCGTCAGACCACTGTTCCGTCCACCTCCCATTTCTTTTCTTTTATCCCATGGATTTGTTTCGGTCCAACAAACTATTTCTTTTCTTTTATTCCATGATTTCTTTTATTCCATGAGATTTGTTTCGGTCCAACAAAAAGTACCTCAAGTTACCGGTATCTCATGGTACCAAATCGTTTCCGATCGTTGTTTCTAACAATGCCCATCCTACCGAGTTAAATCCAAATATATATGCTTCATATATGTGTCCAAATTATATAAATGTTATTTAATTTAGATGATGAATAGATATCAAAACGTCCTTTATATATAGTATGAAACAGAGGAATATGCTTTTATAATGCCATTACCAAACTATCGGACATGCATGGTATATCTGTGGCTGTTGTAAATTTACAAATTACAACTCACATATTAGACTTAGTGGCGAATTTCCATATGCTTGTGAACTATTTAAAAATCATTCTCATTCACAAAGAGGAATGAGTTCGTAAAATGCTTCTATAAGTGAATGCATTCAAATCATTACACCTGTCATTTTTTTTTCAGTATTTCATTTCTTTAAGAATTGAGATCTTGCTACCGTGACTACACCATACTCCCTCCGTCAAAAAAAAGTCTACTTATGGCTATATATGTGGACATAAGCTATATCCAGATACATAGCCAGAAGTTGACTCTTTTTTTTTTACTGAGAGTAGCACCTATGACATAACTTTTCAAATCCCCGATGATTCTTCAAGTAGTTGCTGAATCTTGGCATTCTTTTGTAGATTCTTAGTTGGACTGCTTAGAATCTTGGTCTTCCTTTGTAGATTCTTGGTTAGACTGCTTAACATCAGTCACATTAGCAACTTCAATAAAATATTGGTCTTGCATTACAGATCCTTGGTTAGACTGCATAGTTTCGGTCACACTAGAAACTGCAAAGGAATCTTGGCCTTCCGTTATAGATCTTTGGTTAGATTGCTCGATTTCAGTTACACTGGCAACTCCAAGGGAATCGGATTCTTTCAATAAGGGCTTAAGATATGGATAGTCCTTTAGTAGCCTCTCTTCTGGAAGGATATCACCTATCTTTTGTGGAGTCCATAAAACTTGAATACCCTGAAACAATATGTCCAATGCAAATCCAATTAGGAATGATTGAGTAAGCAAGCATTTGACAAACTATTACTGTTCCCTAATCTCATCTGTAGAAGCATCTGCTCAAACTTAAGAAAATTATACCTCAATTTTGTTTGCATGTATAGAGTTGAGAATTCCCAGTACTGTGGTCAGATCAGAAGCGCTTCTGACTATGGGGAACTCCAATTTTCCCTCAGCAGCAAGAAGAATGGTTAACTGCATGATTTGTCCAATCATCCCAAGATCATATATATGTTAAAGAATGTAACCAACATGCCTCGATCAAAAGAAATTCATGTGTAAATGCATTTGATAAGCCATGGAGAGTTTATATATACATACCACCAGATACTCGTTTTCTTTTCCGAGGCCGGGTTTCAAATATTTTTTCTTCATCTTGATTCCTTGCACGTTGTATAGAGTTTCTTCATCAAACTTGCTCCTCTCCTCGATAGAAATTTTATCAAAATGTTTCTCCCAGCAATCACCCCAGAAAAGCAGTCTCTTTTGCAAGTCAGCCTAAGTTAAAATGGCACGCCCAAATTACATGAGGTTTGTCATCTCAAAGGGAAGAATTAATTAGGTAGGAATAAGAATGTTATATATCGCCAAAAGAGTAATAAAATTGTGTAAATTTCTTACCGATAAGCTTGAAGAGATGCAGATATCTTTGTGACGGTTCAAGGAGCATATGGTCTCTGTACAAATGGTGAGCAAGGAACATACATAAACAAAACTACCAAGGAATGATAAACAAGCTAAGCTAGCAGTTTTTTTAAGATAATGGATAAAATCCAGCCTCTATATCCAAAGTGGATATACACAGCCAAAGCTAAGCTAGCAGTTGATGTATTAGTGATACAAATTGTACATATCTACTAGAGACATATATGCAGATTACAGAGATACCATTGTTGGATGATTGTTGAAATGTTCTGCACACACATGCGCATGAAAGGTCAAATATAAATGACCTATCTAGCTATGATTGAAGAAAGAAGAACAAAAATCGAGTTCAGTTCAAGATATCGCCACTTCACAGCTGCGGTCTGGCTCTTGAGATACCTATATGCTACCCCAAGCTAACTTCTGTTGAAGTTGAATTGGGTATATACCATTTGATCAGAATTGCAGATCAAATGTATATCTAATCGCAAATTGCAGTATATATAGAATCAAATGTATAACTGAAAAAGAAAAGAAAGACTGAAGCTGATGACTTTAAAGCTAAACAAAAGACAGACTTCAATTCAAAGCTAAAGAAAAGACTGGTTACGAACGTAGGATGCATTAACCATATATAGGTGCAAACAAGAATTTAGAAACCGCATTACCGGTCAACATGAACTTGTCCCAACTCCGGTTGGAAGTGTCCACCTTCCTAGCAATCCCGTTGAGATCCCTCTGTATTATTTTTGTCAGCCCACGAAATGCAACCTGAAAAAAAATTCAGACAATTTAATCGCAAACCCCCAACGAGATTAGTGTAGCGATAGATGCATACATACCAATTGTGTGACAAATGCAAATTAGACTATTGAAATTGTGACAATTACAATATAAGATTAGTGAAATTGTAACAGATGAAATTATATTTTTGCTAGTCTCTATAACATCAAATTAGTTCAAATGAATCCATTTTAAATATATCCTTATGGTATATTTATTTTTAGATCAGTAAAATTGTGACAAATACAATTATTTTTAGCTCTACTACCGGAAAATAACTAATTTTTGTTAGCTTAGTACTACAGGGAACTTGAAACGGCGAAATATGCAATATTTTGTGCTAGATTTGGGGAGAATATTTGGCACGTACGAATCAACTGCAACCCAACAAACTTCACACACAACCCATATGAAGCACTTCTTGAATGATGGAGTAAGGAAACACGCAAGACCAATGCAATGAAAACACTTCATATGCTATTATCCTTAGTCACTTTGAATTATCCTAAGTCAACTCCCTTGAAATTTGATCAATTTTACAGAAAAAAATATTAATAATATCTATAACATCAAATGAGTTCAAATTAATCCATATTAAATATATCCTTACAGTATATTTATTTTTAGATCAGTAAAATTGTGACAAATACAATTTAGATTAGTACTGATATTGTGGGAGTGGATTTTCATCCATCGAGGAGATATTCTCTTGTTATTTGCATGTCATTCAAATAATTATGCAAAAATTTGAAAAAAAAATTGAGAAAATGTATTAACATGTGATATATTACTCCACAAATATGCAAGTTCAAATTCAGCTTCTACATCTCGCAACGAAAAAATAAATTAAACTACAACTAGTTAACGTATATTCTTAGTCAAATTTGTTTTTTTCGTTGCGAGATATAGAAGCTGAATTTGAACTTGCATGTTTGTAGAGCGATATATCACATGTTAATATATCTTCTCAATTTTTTTATAACCATTTGAATGACATGCATACAATGAGGGGATATCCCCTCGAGGGATGAAAATAGTTTCCCCTCATATTGTGACAGATGCAATTAGATTAGCACGTGATCATCAATTCAAAGCTAGGTTGGGTGTGATATGGTAGACTAACTAACCTGGAGCTTAACGACGGTGGTCGCCGACCTGGGCCGGAGGAGGTGAGCGGCGATGTAAACCACACCGCACGCCACGTAAGCCCCAACGCAAGCCACGCCGTACGCCACAACCACGGCGCCCGCGACTATCACCGAGATGACGGACTCGTCCTCCCGCGACGACGGCGACGACGACGACGACGAAGAGGACGACGACGATGACGACGACGACGACGTCCTCCTGCAGTAAGATGATGGGGACGACGAGCGGCGGCCGCCCATGACGCCGCCGGACGCCGCGTGCGCGTCTCGCGGGGTGGCCGCCGCGGCGACTGCCGCGCCGGCGGCGGCGGTGAGCAGCAGGGAGAGCTCGAGAGGGCTTCTCCTTCCGCCGGCCTCATGGTGGGAGCTGCTGCTCCCGGAGGAGGAGGAGGCCCCCTCGCGCGCCGCCATGGCCGCCGCCGCACGGCTGGGCCAGAACAGGAGGCGGGATCCGGGCGGCGGCCGCGGCAGCGACGGCGTCAATGGCGGCGGCGGAGGCGTGCTGATGCATGGCGTTCTCGCGAGGGGATGGAGCGGCGGAGGGCGGCGCATACCGGCGGCGATCGCCGTCGAGAAGCGGGCGGTGAGCCGAGGCCACGTCATGGTTGGGTTTAGCTAGCTAGCTAGGGTTTGGGAGCGATTTGCCGTTTGCGCGTAATCACCGTAACTTTGCCCTAATAATCTAATCTACTGCAAAAATTACTTGTGGGTCACGCCATTAATTTGCTTTGAGATCGGTGATGACTTATGACTTATGAGTGCACATTCGTGATGACTTTATAACAGAAGATGAAAGGGATGGCAACTTTGCCGCGGATACCCGACCCGATTTGCATGAGCGTTGGTATTATTTGTGATGTTAACTGATATAAAAAGTTATGATGTAATTCAAATTATCGTTGATAACTGATCTCTACTATTATAAAAATTAAAGATGTTTTTGCCGGTACTTTTGATACGTCATCTGTGTTTGAATCGGTTTTTAAGTTCAATCGTTTTTGGAAATACAGATCCGTGTTTGAGTTGGTATTTAATTTTGTTCATTTTTAGAAATACAGGAGTCGTATAAGAAGTCTCTTTAAAAAAACTTGCATGCTAACTTGAGACGATCGAACCCCTAATTGCGGTTGATGATTTTGTAAAAAGAATATGAATTCCCACAGTGAATTTTCACCTTAGCTAAACCATACAACAATAATAAGATTAAAATATCCTTCACCCGTTGCAACGCACGTGTATTTTTCTAGTAATTTGATAATTTTTTTATTTTATTTCTTTTTATTAAATTACCTATCTTTTGAGTTATTATTTATGTGAGATCCCTTGTATACCCACTGAACAGGCAGGGAAAGTTTTGCTCGTTAACTTTAGTGGGTAGGGTTCGGGTGGGCCAGGAAAGTTTTGCTCGCTAACTTTAGTGGGTAGGGTTCGGGCGGACGGCGTTGGGTATGGTTTTACTCTACCCGTGCTATACCCAAACCATTGCCATCCTTTAATTGCATTCTAAGGTGTAAATATTTTCTATATGGTAGTATATAAATAATATAGACCATCTTAAGGTCCTAAAATTGCAATTAAAGGTGTAAATATTTTCTATAGACCATCTTAAGGTAGACATATTTTGAGTGAAAATGTTTATCTGACTGTAGCAATTGCATGCTAACAAAAGTACAGAAGCACACATTGTGAAGTCATAACTCATAACCTTCCTGAGGCATCATGCAAACGTGAATTAATTTCCACGTCATCATTATTAGTGTTAGCTTCGGCCTTATATGAAGTTCGCTGCAATGGCCAAACCTTACCCCACGTGAACAGCAACAACAAAAAGGAAAAGAACTCCACAGAAAAATGGATGAATTGCAGCAAAATGCATCCAAGAGGATAGCTGATTGAATAAACTACCAACTGATTCAGTCTCTGGTTCAAAAGCACCATTCTTTAACGCCAGAATTTACAGGGTTTAAATTTTGATGGGCGGAATGTACGGATCAAACTGGCAATCATGAGAACAACTAGTTTGACTAATGTACTACCTCGAGTCACATAATGCAGAGGTCGTCTCAAAAATATTTGTGCGGAACTGAGTCGAAGTCATCGTAATCGAATCTTCCACCACGCTCTCTTCCAGTCTGCATCAAATCCATAAACTTAGGAAACAGTGGGCAGTGACAACGAAAAAAAAAAAGCTGAAACCTTTCTGATGAAAATCTGAGCTAACCTTCATTAAATATGCAGGATCGCACGAGATGTTCTCATCAATAGAAGACAGCTTCTTGGACAAAGCCATCAACCTGACATACATATGTTTTGAGACTGAATCATCTGATACAACTCAAAAACGATTAATGTTTCATTCATATTAATTTCCAACTCAGCTTAGGGGTGGCGCACTATTAGAAGGATATGCAGTTATGCTGACTAAGTTATTGGTAGCTTCTTTTCTTTTGCTTTATTCCCTTCTCTTTTCTGTTTTACTGTTATGCTTCTTTAGATTTATTTGAAAAATTAGGCTGTGTGCACCTAGTGTGCCGGCAATGTAAAATTTTCCATTATCTAAAAAAAACAGCCAGTACGCCACCAATTTAACTAAGAGTAAACTCAGAAACTGAGTATGAAAACAAACAAGGTTGCCCTCTGGCCATGATATACCTCAGTGAAGTTCTCCAAAATCATAAGGTTGCATATTGTACTAGATACGATTTTTGTAAGTGAAAGCTACATGCAATGTGCCAAGAGCTGAAGAGCAGCACGAAGGGTCCTTGATTCTCTTCTCTTGGCACCTTGCGTACATGCCCAAGATATACGTAGCAGTCAAGAGTGGTAAACAGAAGACACATACCTTTGAATAGACGAGTCAATATGCTCAACCATCTCACAGCTTTTATATTGCTCAGGATCTTCATGAAAGCTGACCATCCCATCCTTCTGGTTTATGGTTGCATGGATCTCACCATCTTCAATCTGGATTGGCAAAAAGTAAAAATATGTGATAGTACAGATAATGTGATCAGACTGTATGGGGCAAAAAACACCTACCATCCTAAGCACATGCATCTCAGCCTCCTTCGGGGTTTTAAGTTGAACAGAGCTGGCAATATCCTCAAGCGAAAGAGTCAAGTAGGTCTGTGTCAACCTCTGGATGTTTCGCTTGTACATTGAGGAGAGCACTTGCTTCACAAGTCCAAGGTTGTTGTCCTGAAAAAGAAAAAAAAAACAGAGGAAAGGAAGGAGGTGGTTCAGATAAATCTACAAATGGGTTTGCCATGCAGAACTGTCAACAAAATAATGCGTAGCACGTCAAGTAGATAGCAACTTAAGTACAGTTCCTGATAAGGAAATAGATATAGTAAGGAGGGCAGCTCAAGCAACTGACAAAGGAAATACTCACCGATTGAAACTTCTCAGCATTCAGCTGGATATACTCCTCTAATTCAGAGTAGTTACCTTTGCTGTAGCATGTTGACAGGTCAACATAAACCTGAAATAAAAGAACAGCGCAGAGCACTAATGACTTCAGAAGCAACCTAAAAAGGGTGTATGCAGTTAAACACTAAAAAGGATGAACTTGCATCAAGAGCAAAATTTAGCCTTTATATCTAGGGTGGCATAGACGGTAACGTAGAACATAAAAATGTGAGCATTGCCTCTAGTGAGTAAAACAAATGTACTTGATACCGAGAACAAACTATGCAGCAAAACAAAAAAAGAAGGTAAAGCATTGACCATGCCAAAAATGAATCAAAAACCACTAAATCAAAAACCAAACGATGAGACAAAGCATGGGGCATGGCTAACACTTATAGCATTACATTAAACAGCATGCGACTATCAAGCATACATTCTTTCATGGGACAGATGAAACTAGGATTCCCTGAATATACCTGAGCATGATTTTTGAGGTTCCTTTGAGCAGTTGAAGATGTGTACTTTGGAAATGATGGAACCTGTCATTTAAATGGCATAAATCTCAGCTTGTAATCCTCCTTTTTATATAAACTATTGAACATAACAACCTATTAGCATTGCTATGGAGGGGCAACCAGTAAATTGGAGAGAATAAATCTTTTGATGAGCACATGTAGAAATGTCCAGCTTATAGCTCATAATACAATTATGAAGATTATATACCACATCAGTTCAACTGGCAGTTCTTATACCACAGGATGATCTATCAACATAACAAATTTTAGGAGATCTGAGCTCTCATTAAAGACCAGAAGCTAAAGCTGAGTGCACGTGTGCAAATTCGACATTTTCGGGAAAACTAAATATCCTGATACAAGAAGTGGGAAGAGAATGCATGATCAGAAATTTAGTAGTGATAAACTAACTAGAGTAGTATATCTCTGTCTATCAAGGTTAAACCACCTGCTTATGGATTTGGATCCCTATGAGTTGGGTACCATACTGCTTTTCTGCTGCCAATTTTTAACCCATTTACAAAACCGTAGTTGTTTTCATTTGAGAGCCCAAAATATTGGACCAATTAAAGATGGCAACACTAAGATTGTGATCACAATTCAGCGGATGCAAACCTAGGCATCCAGCCTATTATCCCATTAACACAGGAAAAAGGACAGTACCCAATTAGCTTGGAATTAGAGGTTGACTAAACTTATCTTTCATCACCTGTGTACATGTTCCTATCATTACATGCATTATACTTTGTTTCACAAGCTTACCATAAATATAGACTCACCTTTATCTAGCAATGGTATCTGAATTTCTCAACCATATATCACATATGTTTTACCACAAATCTTATCTTAGCCAGAGCTGGTGTATATCAATTAGAGAGCACCAGATCGCTGGTCAAAGCTAAGGAAAAACAAGCTTTCCCTAAAAGTCCCACAATTCCACACACTAAAGCAGCAGAGGACGCAAAGCAGGAAGTGGTGAACATACCTGCCCATTCTGAATGAGCGAAACTAGGATGTATTTCTTGTAAGCTTCAACAGCAATAGCATTCAATGATGACATTGGGACGGTAACAGCCTGTAAAAATGCATAACATTGTAAACACTGAACCATTAAACATCAAACACAAAATTAACATGTTTAAAGCCTCACATTGTGAAGAAAATCCAGTGCTATAGTGAACTTCTTCAGCCCAATGTATATCATTCCCCTGCAAGAGAAGGAAAACCGTTAAGTAAACAAACGGTACATATTAAAAAACCATAAAGGATAAAGCACATTCGTCCATATACCCATAGTAGCAATAGAGGAATAAGTCCTTTGGCTGATCAACTTCGAGTATGTCGTCTTCCAGGACGCTTAGGCCAGCCTTGTACTGCTTCGCAAGCAGGCACAGGAGAAGGTAATCCGCATGGATCGGGGTCAGCTCTTCAGACGAAGTCTGAATCTTGCGGATTGCCGCCCGCAGAGGGGCAATCCCTCTAATCGGCGCGTTGAGCTGCATGACCTCATTCTTGAACACCCTACACACACTCAGAACTGCACATACAAAATACAAATCGAAGAAAAAAAAAGGTGGAATGTTTAGTCCACGAATAATGTTCTAGTACTAGTAACGAATAATCGATGCATGACAGAATTAGATAGATTCGATTTGATCATTGAACAGCACGCACACTTATCAGGCGCCAAGCGTATCTGCTCCGCCGAGCAGGAGACGAGGAAATCGGCCGTGGTGACCAGGAAGTCCCCGCCGCCCTGCGCCCTCAGGTTGGAAGCCGAAGACGCGAACGCCTCCCTGCATCACGGACGAAACAACCCCCCGCAAGGTGGGGGAAAAGTAGATTAGCGCGACGGATTGGATTCGGCGAGCATACGGGATTAGGGTTTTCGCGGACGGCGGCATCAAGGGGACGGGACTCACAGGAGGTAGAGGAAGCCGAGGGAGTGGGCGCTCGGGTGGAGCTGGGCGAGGAAGGGGAGGAGGGCGGCGGAGTGGGCGCGCAGGGGCTCGCCGTCGGCCTGCCGGAGAAGGTTGTGGAGGTGGGCCAGCTCCTCCCCGCTCCCGGAGAGGCCCTGGATGTGCGCCACCAGCGTCTCCACCGTCTCCATCGCCGCCGCCGTCACCGCCGCCGCCGCCGCCGGGAAGTGTGGGGGTTTTGCTTGCCGTTCGCGTCGCCGCGGTTGGGGTTTGGTTTTCTTGTGCTGCGGCTTCCTCTTCGCGTCGACCTGTTTGGTTGGATGCGGAGAGATTTTGATGGCGAGATCGATTTAATTGTGCGGGGATCTGGACCGTCCGTTTGAGTGGGGGGGTGTAATCTGTGCCGTTTGTAGCAGATTCAGATGTGATCTGACAAAATCGAATCCAAATATGCTTCGAAAGGAAGTTTGATTTTTTTTTTGTTATTCAAAACAGAAGTTTGAATTTGCAGATGCTCGTGTGCATTTGAATCATAAATTCACTGAACTGGAGGTGGTTTCGCCTGACAATATATGGAGAAACTGTACATCAATTTCCTGTGTAGCTCTTGCATGTGAATGCAAGTTTTACAAAAACTGACGAAATTCCTACAGTCCAAACTGGAGGTCAAACAGTCCACAATCAGAAAACACCTTGAGTTGAGATAGAAACAGAGGTTCATCATGAACAGCTACCAAACTGGAATGCAGATAGTCACTCCACAATCTCTGTTTTACAACTATTCTCAGTGCCCAGGTGACCTAGCAAAAATGGATATTACACAGGAAACTGTATTCTTTTCCAAAACTTACAGACGCTTCCAAGATTTCATCGGCTTCACTGATGGAATACTCAAGAACTAAGATCAAAGCAGGAGATACGATATATCATCTATGTAAACAAGACAGTATAGAAGAACTGATAAGGAGGAAAACAAGCTGGTATACTTGCACTCGCAAGTCCAGTATTCTTCATTACAAACATATAAGTGCGTCCGCAAAATCGCTTACATTTATATCTATGAAAACAGAGAGACAAAAATGACAGCCGGCTGACTCCTCAGAAGTCAGAATCCACAAACATAGGATAGGAATACTACATATGTTGCAGGCTAGGATCACAATCTAGATCCTTAGACTCAAGTTCTTTGATCTTTCTCAGACAACACACAAACGATATTTACATAGTGAGTTTGTGCGGCGTCGGGGATGCATCCAGATGCTGGAGATGTAGGGCAGCGACAAGTCCCTGCCATGTTTCTCCAGGGCGAGCTGATGTCTTCAATTCCATAAGTTTTCTCTGTTTCCTGTAGTAGTCTTCCAGTAGCTTGGTCTGCATATTGAGAGTTTCACATTTAGAGTTTATCATGTTACTGTACTACAAGAACAAAGCTAGAGAACTCCATAAGAACTAGTATCATGCCTCACAATTCCTCTCAGAGTTTAAACTTCTTGTTTCTGAAAATGCAAGTTTTTAGGGGTGTGCATATAGATGGCAAATTGGCAATCTTGCCCATGGATCCAGGTACCCGCGGGCGCTGTGCCCGATGGGCATGGGTTCGATTTTTTGCCCAGGGGCACGCTCGACCCAAGACCTTAGTGGGTGCCGCCAGGTTTTCTATTTTGCCCATGGGTAACCCATGCCCGACCCAAGTTTTGTATATCTATGGCTGATTTTTGGCCCCATCTCTCCCTTGGCCCATTCGGTTATGGGTCGGGCATGTTCCTGCTCCGTCCGTGCCCAACCCAACCCAACCCATTGCCATCCCTAGGTATGCAATCAGGTGATACATAAAGCAGGCCTCATTGGGTGCATGGTGCAATGCAAAGCTCATCAGATCAATGCTAGTAATAGACCCAATAAGTTTGGGTGGCCTGAAAATACCTGTTCAGCATAAGCACGCATCTTCTCCATTCTCGAGTCCTCCAGACCTAAAACTGCAGCATGTTGCACCTGAGAAGGCCATGTACAGCTCCCAAGGCTCGGATTACGGTCTGAAGACGCAGTTTTGCTAAAATCAAAAAGCTGTCCACAGTGGGGGCAGATGTCACCACCAAACCGCCTCTTCATAAAACAGTTATCAGCACATTTGAAGTTCAGAACCAAGTCGATATCCACAATCTCATCGAGAATCTCCTGAAACATTCAAAAACAGACAGATCAATGAAATTAGTAACTGTGTTGGACATAACTAAATTCAATACATCTAATGTCAATGCTAATTACATGATACCGAGAACTTTGTTATTTAGTTCAAGCAGACAAGGCAAACAGGAACTTACCGCCTGCATATGAGTGCGTGGGATCCCATCAAGGATGAATCCAGTTTCACCCTTATTGTATCCCTCCTCAAGACGCTTCGTCAGCAATCCAAATATAATGTCCTCGGGCACAAGTTTCCCTTCATTCACCGAATTTGCAATCTGTCCATGTCAAATGCAGAAACAATTCAGCATATTCCAATACCCTGAAACACTTGTTGTATAACATATCCCCAAAGCCACAAAATTTCCATTCAGAATATATATCTTTGCCCACTTGTGAAATGGTTCTCAACTTGTCAAACTGCTCTACCCAACTAGCTGATTAACCAAGCCATATATGGTTCTCAACTTGGCATTGTCTGCGATGATAACTTGAGAAGCTCTACCGAATACTACCTGAACTATCAGCTGTTCAGGGAAAGCTACAGGAGAGCCAGCCAAACGAAGGTACAACAAAGAGGGCAAAATGGGAAGCCTGCAAAAGAAGGCGGCCGCCCGCCACAAAGATTCCAAGATCGAAAGTTCCAAACTTTACGACGTGAAACCCTAATTGTGTGGAATCCCCGAATTGCCCCCATGGCATCGTGTGGACGCAAGCAAATTACGGAGATGCCCCCGCAGCCATTCGTGCAGAGGGGAGGACGCTGACCAGGACATGGCCGCCACACGCCCTTTCTCTCAGCATCATGCGATCCATTATAATTTACAAGCACCAGAGAAATCGAAGAATCAAAGAGTAATAATGCTGTTAAACAACGCTCGGAAATTGTTTGGTTTGCCAATTTCGTGGGGAATAAGGAAAAAATAATGGATTTGCTTGCTCTGGTGAAAAGTTGTGGCTACGGACTTACGGAAAAACATGAGGCAAATATCGAAGATTTCGTAATGATCCAAAGATATGTGACAAGAAATTTCCAGAAGCACTCCCAAAGAGTGGCCAGGAAACGCAGGAATCTAGCCTACTTTATGATTAATTGAGCAAAAGCCTCGCGGAAAAGCTCAAATTAGAGTTAGAGATTCGCCTCAAGAAAAGTTTCCAAAATTGCTGGGAGAAAGAAACCTTCCAAAATGTGTGGCGCGATTCCGACTCGAAACGACATAATCAAGCGAAAAAAATATGTGATCGCCAAATCAATCGAGGGGACAAACTCAAATCGCAACAAATTGAAGCGCAGAAACATCGATCGAGGAAAAAAAAGAGTCGTATAAAGAAGCGGGTGGCTTGGAGCGAAATGCGGGCGAACCTTCTTGTAGAGAGAGGACGCCGGGCTGAGCTCCTGCCTGACGAGCGTCCCCATGGAGATGTACGGCACGGCGAGCACCTCGGCGAGGCGGGCGGCGTGGGCGTGCTTCTGCGGCCCGGGCCTCCCCATCACCACCCACTGCGGGCCACCGCCGCCGCCGCCGGTGGGGCACATCTCCGCGACGGGCGCGGACTCCCGCGCCCTCGCCTTCTCCTCCTCCTCCTCCCACTCGGTCCAGTACGCCTCGTCCTCCATAGCCGCCGCCGCCGACGCCCCCATCCTCCGTGCGGCGGGGGCCAGCGCGCGGGCCAGTGGGGACCGCGCGGCGCCGGCGAGCCGCAGGACGCCGGCCATTACCGCGGGCGGCTAGGGTTTGCAGGTGTAGGGTTTTTGGGCGCTGGTGGATGCGATGCGAGCGCGTGGCGGCGCGGGGAGGAGGAGGAGAACGAGAGGGTGGTGGAGGTGAAGAGGAAGAGGAGAGCCATTTCTTCGGAGAGAAAAGCGAAGATGGCTTTCACATGGGCCGACATGGTTGTGGGCCTTAAAACAAAGGGAAGTAAAAGGGCCGGCGTGTCGGATATGGACCGGCCCATAAATAAAAACTGAGGGCAAACTACATAGGGGCATACATAACGATATACTCCCTCCATCTACTTTTGATAATTATATTTCATCTTGGCATAATGACCAAGGATAAATAATTATACCTATCATTTATTTAAACATAAACAAGCAATTCATTAATATTTACATTTCTCGATGCCTATGCAGTGTGGACGAATGGAGAGTCACGCATTAAATTCAAGAAAGTCATTAAAAGAATAGGTAGTTGGATTGAAATATGTCTATCAAAAGTAATTTCTTCATATTTGAAAATATCTCTATCAAAAGTAGATGGAGTAAGTACCATTCTAACATAATAACTTATGTGTGGTAACGGTAGTGTGACGTAAGCGCAATATCGGTATTGGATCTAGTATCATGGTACCATACACGATACTCATAGGTACCATTATGAGGTTAGCATGGTTAGCTATTTCGTTGGAACAGTATTACTGTTTTATAATGTTTTAATTTTTTTATGTAAGAATTTTAAAGAATTTTTGGGGGAATTGAACTGATTCCTAAAAAAACATGTAAAATTCATATGAACAAGTCCTAAAATGTTTTTCAAATAAGCGCTGATTCACTCTTAAAAAATTAAGCGCTGATTCGGCACACCAATGGCTGCATAATTACACTTACACGCCACTGATAAATAGAAAAATCCTACGAATTCCAACGTTTGCCGTGGATGAAAGAAACCAAGAACAGGAACACGGCTAGCTAGCCATTCATCGATCGATGTGCTAAGTCATCGTCATGAGCTCGTCGTGATCAACGCCACGACGGCGGCGGCGGCGAGGAGGCGAGGCGGCCGAGGAGGGCGGAGAAGTCGCGCTCGGAGCAGGGGATGGTGAGGCCGCCGCCGCCGCAGTGGTCGAAGCCGTACTCCTCCTCCACGCTCTTCAGCAGCGCCACGAACGCCGGCTGCCTCAGGTACGCCGTCGGCACCACGAACCTCGCCCGAGCCTCGCCGACGTACACCGCGAAGTGTCCCCTCGGCACGTCCCTCGCCGCGCCGCCGCCGCCGCCCTTCCCAGCCAGGTGAAGCCTCTCCATGAGATGCTGCAGCTTACCTCCCATTCTAGCTCACTCTCTCACAGCTGCAGCTAAGCTTCACTGGATCACAGATTCACTGTCACTATGTCAGTCTGAACTCGTCCTTGCAGTATTTGCTACAGTGATAGTTACGGCAACTGATAACTGTCTGTCTGCGCACTATAGTCTCTGAAACTCTGAATTTTCGATGTGAATTCTTCTGAATTTTGCAGCAGGTCGACAAGGGTGATGCCGTATATATAGTGCTCGTTTTAGTGCAGGGTTAAGACTAAATGGAATTAAGTGTTTCTCAAGGTTTATCGTGGTGATGACTGATGACCAAGAGACAGTGTCACATGATGGTTCTCTGATGTGTTCCTTTCTCACTAGAATGAGACTGGATTTCTATGAGGACTTTTAATGATTATAATCCCTTGTATCAGCATGCCCACATATGCTGCTAAAATGGACTCTTGTTGAGCTTTCATGTCATCCCTTGTGAGAAGTCCTGGTGCTTTTTCAAATTCTGATGTTTGCATTTCAGATAACATACCTAACTAACCGATTGTCATAGTCTAATTTTTCAGTCAATCATTTTCTGAAAGAATTTTTTTATTTCAGTTCTCTGTCAGTGCAGGGTTCAGTAGTTTGCTGATTTTTCTTTTTCTTTTTGCAGAAAGTAGAAACACTAGTACTTTTTTAATGAAATCCACGCAAGACGCATATCCCGTCGCGCGACAAACACGAAAAATATATCAATATCAATGGCCATTCCAATATAAATCCTGCATAAAAAAAAGAACTGGTGGTGGCCGTTCGTTCACGTCACAACAAAACCGGCTCACTTGGCATGCTGCATGAGAAAATGCTTGTTGTTTAGCCAGCATGCTGCTGCTGCAACAAGTGGACATGCAGATGGACCCCCAAGTGTGCAAAATTTCAATTCAACTCGTGTACAAATACTCAGAGACATGGCCGTATGGGTATCCATCCTCATGTGCTTGACCACCAAATCATTAGGACCTGAAAATGGAGGATCAATGGAGCCAAATCTCTGAATTTGAAGGCCAAAATGTTCAGATTTCAGACTGAAAAGGCTATAATCTTCAGAGGTGTTCAGAGTTCAGGCACAGTAGTACATTACATCCCAGAGGACATCTGCTGCATCAAGATATCATCCAGCTCGGCACCCACAGCTTCCTGACCATGGTAATATGGTATTGGCTCTTCTGTGGCCTAGAATTGCGCAATGTGCGGTGCAGCGGCGCATGATCGATCGCTGGACAGCTAAGGCGACTCGTCGCGAAATGAGTGACAGTGTCGATCAATCTATCATGGCTGCAACTGCAAGAGAACATGCGGCATGCTGCCGAGATCAAGTACATGATCCGGCACATTTCCCTGACAGACTTGTTCGGATGTAGGCTCAGTGATGACTGGGGTTGCATAACTGCATAAGCAGATCTTGGATCGGGAGGTTGTGTTGCATGATTGTGCAGTGAATTATGACTTTGAGGTTCTTGCTGAACAATTTGTTTTCAGTCAAAGTTCGATTACTGAAGTTAAAGACTGAGGTTGGACAAAGGAAGTAAAACTTCCGGTCTTTGCATCAGCTAAGGATATATATTAAGATGAAATCTAAATTATAAGAACAACAACAACAACAAAATATCAGGTGCAACCAAAAAAAGAATAAAACAATAGAGATGAAATATAAATTACAAGAGCAACAAAAAAAAAGAGCAGATGCAACAAAAGAAAAACAGAGATGAATTCTGAATTGTTGGCCAAAGATTCAGCTTAACAAAAGAGAGAGTGTCCTAAGATGAAATCTAGATTACAAGCAGATGTGCAGTCTGAGTTGTTGTCCAAAGATCCAGCTTAACAAATTAGAAGAAATGCAGAGATGAAATCTGAGTTGTTTGCCAAAGATTCAGCTAACTAAAGAGAGAATGTCCTAAGATGAAATCTAGATTACAAGCAGATGGCAGTCTGAGTTGTTGGCCAAAGATCGAGCTTAACAAATTAGAAAATGCAGAGATGAAATCCAAGTCGTTTGCCAAAGATTCAGCTAACAAAAAGATGCGTTTGCCGGGAGTCGAACCCGGGTCTATTGCTTGGAAGGCAATTATCCTAACCGTTGGACTACAAACGCTATGCGTACATCTGAATGAAAAACAAATATTCAACCAGTGGGGCATCTTAATTCGTTCTTTTTTATGATGATGTAGGAGTAGTTCATAAAGTACACGTCTTAATATGAACAATAAACTTAGCTTATGCTTATGTGCAATATGCATCCCATGTGTTTCCATTAAAGTTCTTGACTCTGGATAGGGAACAATAGCATCAACGGCACCTATGCTTGTCTTTCGATTCAAGAGCTAGCTGCATATGTTTCAGTTTTAATCAAACAGCAGGCATGTGTTTCAGTTCGAAGTTGACAATTTCTGTCCACTGTGGAAAAAGTCAACCGAGAACAGGAAGCACTTAATTTCTATGTCATGGATGCAAGTCTGAATCTGACAGGCAGCGATGCCTATTAAGTACTCTGTATACTGTTAAGAGAGCAGCAGCTTGAAGGCTGCCCCTTGAAATGTATTCCTTTTCGTTCATTTTTTTGTTAGTCTTTGACCTGATTTGGCGGTGCTCAAAGTTGAATTTTGGCCAATATTTCAAAATAAGTTAGGCATGACCGCGCTGAAGTTTAAGACGCCTCTTGCTTGACTAGTTTGTAGTTTACACATACGCTGGCTGAAAAATTGTTCCAATGTACACATTGTACAGGAGCTTCTTCAGCATCTGCACAACTATCTCACACGATTTCAGAAAGTTCAGATAGTCTGAAACTTGAATGAGAAGATCGATGAGTTGTCTGCTCTTACCAATTTGTCATGTACTCGTATTTTGTAAGTTATTTTTCTTTTCGCCGGGCCGTATTTTGTAAGTTTTGTTGTTCAAACTCAATAATAGTAACACTGTAACAGAGAAATATCTGGAAGTTGCTGTATTTAAAAGTTCATTCTCAGTTCCTGGTCAGTACACACCGAAGTCATAAATTTCAGTAAGATGAAGCGATTTCGTTTAAATTTTTTAAACTTTCAGTACAAATAAAAGTTCGAAAACCTGCAAGATGAAGCGGTTTCGTTTAAATTTTCAAACTTCAGTACCAAAAAAGTGCGTTTGCTGGAAGTTGCTGTATTTAAAAGTTCATTCTCAGTTCCTGGTCAGTACACACCGAAGTCATAAATTTCAATAAGATGAAGCGATTTCGTTTAATTTTTTTAAACTTTCAGTACAAATAAAAGTTCGAAAACCTGCAAGATGAAGCGGTTTCGTTTAAATTTTCAAACTTCAGTACCAAAAAAGTGCGTTTGCCGGGAGTCGAACCCGGGTCTATTGCTTGGAAGGCAATTATCCTAACCGTTGGACTACAAACGCATCTTATGGTAGATTTAAAAAAACTGCAATCTTATCAACAAATCTTTAATTTCTGGTGCATCTTTTTTTTGTCAGAAGAGGATCAATGCTGAGGTACTGAACCTAATGCAGTAATGCATAATTGATGGGTATCTTTTTTTTTAGATAATTAACCGATGACTATCTTTTCGTCAATGAGTTGTGCATGAGACAGACCATGTGTTTCAGATGAGCACTTAAATGGGAAAAACGGAAGAAAAAAAAAGCAACAAGGCCTAGTACTTTCATATGCGATTGTTGCTCCATTCTTGTTTGTTCAGGAACAGCACTCTGACAAAGTGACAATCTAGTGCACTCGGTGTCTGTCCTTAAAAAAAATGCCAAGTTGAAGCATATATAATCATTTAGTTGCACGCGGCATGATCAATTAGCATCCGGTTTCATCCATCCGTATAACAGAAAATGATACGGAAGTCTGAATCCAGGAAAAGCACAGCAAATTCAGTGCTCTGCGCTGTCTTGAGAGCACTGTGATGGGCACCAAGTCTAGGACTGTCCCAATCTGTCTCTCTCCAAAAAGTTTCAGGCCCTGTTTAGAAGGTGTTTAGATCCAGGGGTGTAAAGTTTTGGGCCAAAAAAACAGCTTGCAAAAAGTATCTCATATAGCTGATAAGCAATTTTTGCTGCAACTTCTTTTTATTAGGATAGGATCAATGCTGGGGGTACCAAACCTAATACATAACGGATGACCATATTTTGTTTTACATAATTATTAACTGATGATGCCTGTTTTAAATGGGAAAAACGGAGAAAATAATAAGGCCTGCTACTTTCATATGCAACTGTTGCTGAATTCTTCTTTCTCCAGGAACAGCACTCTGACCATCTAGTGCACCCGCTGTCTCTCCGTAACAAAAAATGACAAGTTGAAACACATATATAATCATTTAGCTGCACGCGGCATAATGAATTAGCATCCGGTTTCATTTCATCCGTCCGTATACCAGGAAATGATACGGAAGTCTGAATCCAGGAAAGCACAGCAAATTCAGTGCTCTGTGCAGTCTTGAAAGCTCTGTGATGGGCACCAAGTCTAGGACTGTCTCACTCTCTCTCTATCTCTCCCCCACAATTTTAAGCTTTCAACCAATGCTCTGAATGTACGATGCAAATCTGGACAGTGATGTTTATGAATGCATGCAGCTCATGTTTATCAGGATTTCAGTCTCTTTTCCTCGCAGTGTCCAGCTCGGCTATTTGCAGGTTGAAATCACAACGCATTGGATTTGTGTATCTTCGTATTAATAGAGAGTTAAAATCACTATACTCCCTGTCTCTAAGACTCTAACGTCTCTTCCATTCCATGGTTATTTCACATAGATTTAGCTCGATCGGGAAAACAAGGAAACTAGGGGTTCGGAGTTTCATTTTCCGAACCCCCACCCTACAGGTTTTTTTTTCCCCAAGAATCGCCAAAATTTAACTCTGAAATTTGATCCTTCTGCTACGTTCTTGCAGACTAGCAGTTTTTCACACCTGGCCCTAAAAAGCCTCTGAAAAAAATTTCTCATAATTTTTCGCATTGACTTAGTGCATAAAAACGATGAGAAAAGGGGTTCGCGAGAATAAAACTCCGAACCCCACCAACACTTCTTTTCACTCTGAACCTTCTGTTCCGTTCTTGCAGATCCAACGATGCCTGACAAAATGTTCAGGATGGCTGAAACGATGATGTTCTTAAACGATGAGAGAGAAAAAAATGAAACATAATCCCATTAATCCGGATTTCTGTGTCTGTTTAATTCTCCATGTACAGAGAAGAGTCCAACTAGATTGCACGCAGCCTAGTGGTAAGTGACCTGAGTAGCATACCAAGCTTCTGAGTTTAAATCTCTGTCGAAGCGAATTTCAGATTAGGTTATTTGAGGGCTAAGTTCCCTATTCGATTATCTGCATCCTGAAAGATGAAAATTACTCTATTCCCCCATCCTGTAGGAATGATGTATGTATCCAGGTTAATGACCGTATCATTCTGTCTGATTGTTTTTTTCTTTTTTTTTCACCGATTTAGTTCGGGCAAACGTTGAAACATGGGGTTCGGAGAATTGGACTCCGACCCCACATTCTTGAAAAATTACTTGGACATGGGTCGAAATTGGCAACAACTTTCCATCAAATGATGTTATCATACAAGTAGTACAACGAACGATCTCATCAGCAAGAAGGATTCCAATTAATCCTCAGCAACAAGAAAAGAGAACACAAAAATCCGAGCCGTCATAGCTAGCTAATTAACTAGAAGCTACTAATTAACTAATTAACAGCGAGCTAGTGGTGGTGGTGGTCGTCGGAGGCGATGGCTTCGGCGACGAAGGAGGCGAAGTCGCCCTCGGTGGCGCAGGGGATGGTGAGGCCACCGCAGCGGTGGCAGTCGAAGCCGAATTCCTCCTCCACCCGCTTCAGCAGCAGCACGAACGACGGGTGCTTCAGGTAAGCCGTCGGGATCACGAACCGCTTCCGCCTCTCGCCGACGTACACCGCGAAATGCCCCCTCGGCACGTCCGCCGCCGCCGCCGCCGCCGTCGCCGCCGACGACGACGACGACCGGCTCCTCGCCAGGTGCATCCTCGACATCAGCTGGTACAGCTTCCCCGCCATATTATCACAGTGATCGATCGAGCTTGTTTATTCTTGCTTGCAATTAACTGAGCTGGTGATGCTGCTGTATGTGTTTGTCTGAAATCTGAAGAGTGAAGTGAAGTGAAGTGGAGAGTGGTGAGAGGCAAAGCTGCTTATTTATAGGTGAGCCGTGAGCTCGATGATCACTCGATCAGCATCACTGCAGTAGCCTAGCTTCTTTGTTGGCAAGCTGGACATGTCACATGGACGCATGCATGGTCATGCAATATAAAAAGAGAGAGAGAACTTTACGGTATATACTGCCTCTATATACTAGTAGTATATAGATGTGCAAAAAGGATAGAAAATTAAAAAGCACTTTCGAGTAATTTCGTGGTTGAGAGTTAATCCGATTTAATTGGGACATGCTCATGCCGTCACTGGATCTCATTTATGCGCATGAGAGACGCATTGCAGTCGAACGATTGCTGCTCAATTCTAATCATTATTTAAAAAAATCTATGTACTTTGGTTATGACCAATTACCAGTTAAATAATATAAGTTACATAGCAGGTGTGTGTAAAAAAACTTATAAATTTTAAGTGAAAAAATAAAGTAGTTTATACTATTAAATCATTTGTACTCAATATATTGGACCATACAAGTTCTTATGTAGTTGTGCCTACATATGTGGCATGGTCGTGAATATAATGCAGCTGCATCCATATAGATGATCGAACCTGGACCAGCTGCCAATGTCTGGGTTCAGCAACTATGACACAGTACAGTGCATTGTACATTGCACAGTGAGCAAGCTCGCTCGCTCGAGAGGCAGCTCCACCAACCATGGACCATGGCTGCCACTCGCATCAACGACACTCGCACTGGGATTCTACTGCCACTCGATCATGGAGCTCTCCAAGAAGACGACGGCATCTATCCTGCAATGATTGGACGGTCAGCTAGCTAGCTATAGCTAGCAGCCTGAATTGTTTGCTGGGCGTGTGCAAATTGGCCTGAATTATTTAGGATTTTTCAGACACACGCACACATGGGCTGCATACTGAAATGATAGCCGTAGGGACATTATTCTATACTCTAATACATCCCCTCATTATTTGTATGTCATTCAAATAAGTATGAAGAAAATAAAAAAATCAACAAGATATACAAATATATATAAGGTTGAATTTAACTTGTACAAATATACATTAACTACATATAGCTTTTTTTCTGTTGCAATTTGTAGAAGTTAAATTTTAACATGCATGTTTGTGGAATGTAATATGTAACTTGTTGGTTTTTTAAATAAAATTATAACCATTTACAAAACATGCAATCAGAATCTACTCCCGATATCCGAATGCTCCAGAATTCTCGAGCAATAAACTGTAGGCTAACAGCGGCTGGAGGATACCAAAACCGGGGGCTCCAAGATCACATCTCACATGGATTCATGGATGGATGGTTTTGGTATCGAGGAGAATATGGAGGAAACCAGGAAAGGGGATTATTTGTCTGGGCCTGAATGAATCTGCAGAGAGTACATGTGGGCACAGAGAAATTAACCTGCATGTCTCTCGATCAATTTGATCATGGATGGTCCTGAGAATTCAGAGGTAGCAGTAGAAGTGTACGGCCAGCCCTGTGCAACCTGCAACATGCTTGTAATTTGCATATGCCGCCTTGTGATGAATGTTGGATAATCGGTTTTTGTACGTACGACGTGCTCACCGCTAGAGATGCAGTAAGTCTCACTACACGTATAAAATTAAACTCTATTTCATACTCCATCCGTTTTAAAATGTTTTACACCATTAACTTTTTAATACGTGTTTGACCATTCATCTTATTAAAAAAATTTAAGTAATCATTTATTCTTTTCATATCATTTGATTCATTGTTAAATATACTTTCATGTACACACATAGTTTTACATATTTTACATTTTTTTTAATAAGACGAACGGTCAAACATGTGCTAAAAAGTCAACGGTGTCAAACATTTTGAAACGGAGGGAGTAGTTTATTTCTCACTTAAATGCTAGTAGAAATTTGGAAAAAAAATAGTTGAAAGAAAGCTAATATTAGTTGCCACATATTTGTACTTAGTTGAAAGAGAAGAATTGAGATAATAACAAACTACATATTTGAAACTAGCTACAACACAGACTTCAATCAACGAGCTTTATAAGTAAGTGAAGTATAAGTAGAAGCTTTTTTATTTGTTTTTATATTTCATCTCTTTTTAATATAAACTTGTGATTGTGTGTCTTATAACAGATGTCGGACATCTAATCCATTTCTATTATTTAAAAATGATTAATGATGTAATATGCATGTATGTGTAGCTAGTCTTGTCATATTTCTCTTTTTTTAGATAATGGAAATGAATTACATATCCGGTTTATGTCATAAGACACAGCCATGAGTCTTGTCATATCTCTCTGAGTCATTAACGCGTGAGGCTTGTTTGTTTGGAGGGAATTTTGCTAGAACTGTAACTGCCTAAGCAATTGTCTAATTGTTCAATCATACGTGACAAACTGTGACAACTTAAGACCGCAAAGCAAACATGCCGTAAGTTTTTATTTCTACGTGCTAAACCTTCTGTAAAAAGCGGGGACCAAACCCGAGAAAAAGTGTGGTACGGATGGTGTGTGTGGCCCGTCCGACGTGGGCCTCCGTATTGACTGCATTTTGGGCCTCACTGTGTTACAATCGCAATGACAGGTAGTGGGGGCCCATAATCTTTGACGGGCCTTACTATTCTGAGGTTGAGACTGTAGGAGATTGTGGGCTACCGTATTCTGGGCCGTAAAGTAAGTACTCGTGATATGTAGGCCCAATAGCAATGAAAAAGATGGCTGTAGGCCGCTAGCAGAACTGGGTTGTCAACTAAGTAGTAGAATAAGAAGAAGAGAATTGGGCTGAGGAAACATGTCAATCCAAACTCAATACCAAATTGACCTACTAGCATTTTACTCCCTCAGTACCAAAATAATTTCATTTTTCGCACATCCCTCATATACCAATACAAAACCAAAAACACTATTGTCGATGATATGGGCCCGGAGATATCACGTCTAGAGGGAAGAGGCCGCCCTCAAACCCACGTGGCTCCCCGCGAGGGGGGATCAAACCCGGGGTGGAGCGGTGGCTACCCCCACCCAGCTAGAGGGAGGAGGCCACCCTCAAACCCACGTGGCTCTCCCCGAGGGGGGTCGAGCCCGGGGTGTTGCGGCGGCTGCTCCCTCCCAGCTTGGGGTTGGGCCGCCCCCAAACCCACGTGGCTCCCCCCGAGGGGGGTCGAGCCCGGGGTGGCGCGGCGGCTGCCCCCTCCAAGCTAGAGGGAGGAGGCCGCCCTCGCTTGGGGTCGAGCTTCCCTGACCCCCTCCACGTATCAACCCACGTGTACAGGGTTAGGTGGGCGTGCCTAACGCCCACCTAACTGCATTTAAAGCGGTCTATGCAACCGCATCATGTCACATTTAATGCGGCGTGCTGCGCATCTGACCGGTCTGTGACCGGTTGAATGACCGATGGGACGGCGACTGTGTACCCCCGTCCTGTCAGTGTGTCAGGCGGTGAGCGGCGTGCTCCGTCCCGTCCCATCATAATGATGAGGGGCTTCACAGCCTCTTACCCCAGTCAGAGCTGGTCCAACCACTCTGAACTGACCCGGGTTCCCGTTTTCTGGTGTGAACGAGAACCTGGAAGTTCTCATCCATTAAATGACGAATGACAAGGGCGCCATGCATGATTTGATGGGCCCCGCGTAGCAACCGACGTGCAGATAGCTTCTAGGCTAAGGCAGAAGACATGTAATTAATATAGAGAATATTTTCCCTTCTCCCTAGGTAGCACTCGCAGCACATGTAGTATCCTCTTAGAGTATAAAAGGAGGACCATGCCTAGCGAGGAGGGGGGATCGGACTGAGGATCCCTGAGCCAAAGCTTGTCTAACCCTAGCTTGCATACCAGGGATTCAGGGACTTTCTAAGCACAGAAGAATCATAAACACAGGAGTAGGGTATTACGCTTCATAGCGGCCCGAACCTGTATAAACCTCTTTTGTCTCATCGTCTTGGAGGAGCCTCCGAGATCAAGATCTCACACAGTTTCACTCACCAAATCCTCGAATCTCACCCGCTGCCCCCGGCCGAACTCTCAAAGAGGGGCCTCACAGCCTCCCGCTAGAGAGGGTCACCCCTCGACAACTATAGTATCCCCCACTTTATCAAATTTCAATGAAATTATTCTTCTCATTATCCACTCCCAATGCATTTATCTTTTATTTTCATAAACTCCGATGCAATGGTTTATTTTGAATAAATGGGAGGGAAAAAAACAAATTCTAGAACTGATGGAGTGCGTTCGACATAAGCAGATTGAGTGAAAAAAAAGTCTCTCATTTCTACATGCACGCTTCCTGAACTATTAAACGGTGTTTTTTTTACAAACTTTTTATTTATGAAAGTTATTTTTAAAAAATCATACTAATCTCTTTTGAAGTTTAAAATAAATAATAATCAATTAATCATACACTAATAATTCATCTCGTTTTACATATTCTTTTCAATCTTCACTAATCCTCTTATCTCAAACACTCATATGTTTTACCCATTCTTTTCATAACTCACATCTCTCGTTTTTCGCATAAACTTCCTAAACTACTCAACGGTGTATATATATATATATATATAAAAGTTGCTTTTAAAGAATCATATTAATCTACTTTTCAAAACAAAATAATTAGTAATACTTAATTATTTATGTGTTAATGAGTCGTTCGTTTTATGTGATATAATTACTCTAGTTTCAACACCAGAAACCAAACACAGCATAAGCATATGCCTTTTTTTTTTGGGTTCAGGTGATGAGGATCTGCACACTGTTGGGCGTTCAATGAATCCAGTAGGGAGTCCGGACATGGAGCATGGACGCTGCAGAGACAGAAGACAGAGAGGTTGCTTGCTTGAAGAAGGAAGAAGGAGTAGGTGACAGGTAGGGCCCCAAGATGACGCCCAGCTGTCGATCCACCCAACACCGACCGGGGTCCGGCCCCCAGATCAGACTCATCAGACACCTCATCTCTCATCCCCTCACAACACACGTGTTCCCCGCGTGCCATTTTCAGACACCATTGCTTTCGCTTTGCTTAGCAACTCGGCAATGAA